CCAAGCTAAGAGTTCCATGCATCCCACCGATATACATGAAAATGCATGTGTATTGGAATGGGATGCGCACGCTCTCCTTGGAGGGACACATCCTGATTTCCTGCAGTCTTGCAAGAGCCAAGGCCCAGAGTGTGCGTTGGGGTAACCAGCTAAAACTGCATAGCTTTTGCCATTGATATTGTTGTCAGGCAAGCTTTCCCGCTGCTTGTCCAGCTAGGACCATGCCACCCGTTAAGGCTTTGCCTTGTAGGGTTAACAGGAGTTGAGTGGGATGATTCCCTGGCCCTATGACTGGTCTGCTCTTCCAAGTCCTGCCTATAAACCGAGGTGGCTGATTTGCCCTCAGTATTGCCCTGGAGTACTCCCAGAGAGGGTGATCTCAATTCCGACATTCTGTTGCCAAGCCTTGGAACCAGTTCAGCTACAACCCTAACCCTAACCACAGAGACCCCATGGATCTGTCATTCAGCATTGCATGCCCAGGATGCACTGAAGTTGTCGAGACGTCTGAAAGAGCTTCACAGAATATACTGTAAAGTGAATTGACTGCATATTTGGTGGATGAAAACTGCAATAGACAAGGGGACAAAATAGCAAAAAGGCCTCGGCCATTCTGAATCCGGCCATTGTTATCTTATCTCAAAAGCACAAACTCATAACGTTCCATCTCAGGTCAAAGCGTGAAGTGGTCCAGTCCACAGGGAGCTGATTGGCAAATTGAATTAATGGTCCTTTGTGTATGAAACGACTTCAGCGCTCGTTTTAATTATTAATCTCACTTGCAGAATCGCTCTCGGGAGTTTCCGAAATTCGGAACAAACAAACAGTCAAAGGTATCAGCAAGGTACAGGCGCGAGCATCATTTAAAACCAATTATACTAATTGTCCTGTTAATTGCCAGCCCTGTTGCTGAGTCGTGTGGCTGATGGAATGAAAGGGAATCTGCAACTGCAATTCTCTGACACCCCTGTTCCCCTCCCCAGAATGAAGAGATTAATTAGGGTCTTGGGTTCTTTGTAGGACAATTGCCCCAAAACTAAACCACTCAAAGCTCTGCATGTCCCAGCACCTTGGGACGTCCTCCCGATGTGAAAGGCGCTATACAAATGTAATTTTGTATTGTGTTATAAATCACAGTAGAAATACCTTCAATCACTGAGACAAAGGTTACCAAGCTACATCATAAGATAACAGGGAGCTTGGAGCAATATTATCATAAACTAATCACGGTGAAAGGCAACAATGTCTTGCATCTTGATACCATTGCACCATTTATATAATCCAAGTTTCCTGTTGCTTATCCAGCTAGGACCATCCTACCTGTTAGGGCGGTGGCTATTATTATTATTATTGGCTTGCAGAGTTAACAGGAACTGAGTGGGATGACTCCCTGCCCCCAGTGACTGGTCGGCCCTTCCAAGTCCTGCTGATGAGCCAGGCTGGGCTGTGCTGTCATCATCAGTGCCCTGGAATACAGCGGTCAGGAAGGGGACTAGCGAGACCGCCACAGAGGGCAGGCTCGATTCCGATATTCCATTGCCAGACATGTCACCATGGGACCAGTTCACACCGCTTATCTCCTCCAGGAGGATAGCTCTTTCAAAGTGAAACTCTGATAACTCATCCTTGGGATTGGTCATCATCCCCAAACGACTTTGTACTTTCAAGATACTGGATTTTGGATAACAAGTTAACTCTGATAAGTAGTTATTTGAGCTATTTCCCTTGGGGGTGACGAGTCATCGGAGTTTTACTGTACATAATAATGGGAGAAGTGGATCAGTGGCATAGATAATAAATCAATAGGTAAGGGTTGGGAGGATAGGGTGGAAACCAAAAGATAAGGCAAGGAGCGGATGACAACAATGGTCAGAATACAAATAGTGATAAAGTTAACATAAATACTACAGGAAAGAAAAAGGTACTAGGAAGTTATCACAAAAGGTGTAACAAGTCAAACAGTGTGAGAAGACTATTGTCAGGGGGTATTGGCATGTTGACAGTTACCCAAATAAGAACTATGTATACAAATGCACGTAGCATAAGAAATAAAACAAGTGAGTTAGAAGCACAAATTCAGCTTAAAAGATATGATGATTACAGAGACCTGGCTACAAGCTGGGCAGGACTGGGAGCTAAATATCCCAGGCTATAAGATCTTTAGAAAAGACAGGGACATTGGGAAGGAGGAGGAGTAGCAATATCGATAAAATACGCTATTACAGCAGTGGAAAGGAAAGATTTCAGTAAGGGCGATCAGGAAATAGAAACACTGTGGGTAGAGTTAAGGAACAGCAATGGAGGTAAGACTCTGATGGTCTACAGACCTCCAGAGAGTTGTGATGCAGTGGGGAAATGTATAAATACGGAGATTAGGGAAGCATGTAGTTAATATGGTAGATTTTAATTTTCGCATAAACTGGGAGAAGCAGGACACCTCAGGTAATAAAAACAATGAATTTCTAAAATGTATTCAGGACAGTTTTTTGGAACAATATGTTTTAGAACCAACAAGGGAACAAGCCATACTGGATTTGGTGATGAGTAATGAGCCAGAACTAGTTAACAATCTGACAGTAAGGGAACATCTCGCAAATAGTGATCAGAATATGATTGAATTTGACATTGGATTTGAGAGGGAAAAGGGAGAGTCCCAAACCAAGGCTTTAAATTTAATTAAGGCGATGGGATGAGAAATATATTGACCACAATAAACTGGGCTGAACTATCAGTGGGTAAACCTGCAGATGAACAATGGGAAATATTCAAAAGAGTATTTGATACAATACAGAACAAGTGTATACCCCTAAAATGCAAAAGCTCCAATCGTGTAGTTAAGCAACCATGGTGGACAAAAGAGATTAGGGACTGTATCAAGCTAAAAGAAAAGGCTTACTCAAATGCAAGAAAAAGTGGGAATGCAGAGAACTACAAAAGACAACAAAGGAATACAAAGAAAGTAATGCTCAATAAAAATTAATATAAATGAAAAAAACGGTAATGGAGAAAATAATGAAACTCAAGATAGACAAATCTCCAGGGCCTGATAGTTTCCACCCCAGGGTGTTAAAGGAAATAAGAGAGGAAATGTAGGAAATTCCTGTAGCTCAGTGGTTAGAGCACTCATCTCGCAAGTGAGAGACCTGGGTTTGATTCCCGGCAGGGCGAAACCTTGGGCAAGTCTCCACACTCCTAATAATAAACCTTCAAGAAAAAAAATAATTTGGTCATTCAATCCATGACTGTTTGTGTGCGATTGGCTGCCGCATTTCGCCCACAAAATATACAGTCAATTAACTTTACAGTATATTCTGTGAAGCGTTTTGAGACGTCTAGAAGACGTAAAAAGCGCTATATCAAATGCAAGGATTATTATTATTGTCTTAAAATTAGAACCAGGTCATTTAAGAGTGAAATCAGGAAGCATTTTTTTCACTTAAAGAGTGGCAGAAATCTGTAATTCTCTCCCCCAAAAGGCTGTGGATGCTGAGGTTGATAGATTTTTGGTAGATCAGGGTATTAAGGGATATGGGAAGAAAGCAGGAAATTGGAATTGGAAGGATTAATTGAGATACAGATCAGCCATGATCTGATTAAATGGTGGGACAGGCTCGAAGGGCTGAACGTCCTCCTCCTGTTCCGATGTTCCTACGTAAGGATAATGAATGGCAATGATAGACTCTGGCAATTACCCGAATGCAGACTCCAGGGTCCCCAAGCTTTGGCTCTTGCAAACCTGCGCCTGATACTTTCCGGAATTAGGTAAGCAGGATGTGTCACTCCACGGAGAGAGAGTACATTCTATTCCAATAAATATCTCTGGAATTTCCATATGATGGCAGGATACATGGAATTCTCGGTTTGGTTTGGATACTCTTAAGCATGGTGATGGGTTTTCGCATGTGTTAGAGACACCTGGCTGACAGACAAAAAAACACCCCAGGAGGACATCTCAAAGCACTTCACAGGATACATTGCAAAGTGGAGTGACTGTGTATGTCATGGGCAAATGCAGCAGTCCATTTGCGCGCAGCACATCCCACAAACAGCCATGGAGTGATAGACCAATTTTATTTTGAGGGATTGTTGGCCTGGACACTGGAGTAAACTCCCTTCTCTTATCGAGGAACACAATGGGATGTTTTATTGTTCACCTTAACGGACAGACAGGACCTCAATTTAGCATCTCATCCAAAGAACAACATTCAAAGGACAGCACCTCCAATAATGCAGCATTCCCCCAGCATTGCATTGGAATGTTATTATGGACTGTATGAGTTGCTGGTCCCAAGGTGGGGCTTGCGCCCACAACCTTCTGACTCAGAGCCGAGGGTGCTACCAACTGAGCCAGGCTGAGTGTTGGAGGAACTATCTTCGAAGGGATGTAGGCATAGATAACGTTGGTGGTAGTCATGACATAGGGCTGGAAGAGGGCTATTTTCTGAGGAGGAAGAAGGCAACCCTGGGGAAGGATGCAAAATGATCTTTGAATCCCAGCGGAGGCTCTAACAGGACAGGGAGGTTATGTACCTGTGAGGTCAGCCTCAGTGAGCAAACAGGCAGCTTAGCGGAATAATAATAATAATAATCTTTACATTTGATATAGCGCTTTTCACGTCGGGAGGACGTCCCAAAGCGCTTCACAGAACACACTGTAAAGTGAGTTGACTGTATATTTGTGGGCGAACGCGGCGGCCAATTGCGCACAGCAATGTCCCACAAACAGTCGTAGATTGAAAATGACCAATTTATTATTGTTTTGGGTTTTGGAGGGATTATTATTAGTAAGGAAACTTGCCCAAGGTTTCGCCCTCTGCCTGGAATTGAACTCAGGTCTCTCACTTGCAAAGCGAGTGCTCTAACCGCTGAGCTACAGGAATCACATCCAGAGGCACATCAGCCCTGGCAAGAGGCAAAGTTGGCTTAATGAGAGAGAGGGTTTGTCCAGAGAAACATACACTGTATTCTATACTCAATCAAAATAGGACCTGACGTGGACAGAAGTTGATGATTAATTTTAATACGTAGGTTACAAAGAAATCAGGATTTCATTGGAAAATAGTTGAAACGTACAATCGAAAAAGGTTTGCAAAACCTCCCTCCATCCATCCATCTACCCATCGCAGCCCGACGTGGGAAAGATTCCCAACACGCGAGACATCAACGTGTGGAAAAGATAATGTTAATTGCAGAGTCAGACTTGGGCATGAAAACAACCGAGATAATAGTTGCCAGCATTCTGAACGTGAGCAAGCGTGAGATTTTAAAGAAATCTGAGCGCGGATGTTAATGAAATGTGCGGAAACTACTGTGAACAAAGTCTTCAAGTACAAAGCACACCCAGGACTGGTTGCATTGATGATTGCCACTTTGATGGGCATCTTCCTGCTTAGTGGAGCCCAGGGCAACCTAAGCCAAGCCACACTGGTAACGGTGAAAGATTGAACACTAATGGATAGGAAAGGTGCAACACTCAATGCACTAGAGCTGTAGTGCATTGAGACAGCGATGCATTCGCTGCAGAGTCAGAATGAAAACAAACACATTAACCAAGTCTGGGTGCTCAGTTTCCACCTTGTTGATTTTGGGCATTGATGTCACTGAGACCTCCAGGATTTGTCCCTGCGTTGGGGCTCTCCAAACCTAAAGATTATGTGTGTGCTTTTGGACACCTTGTTGTGTGACTTTCAATCAACACTGAATTAAGTGTTGAATCATGTGTGGCCCCACACACACACACACACACACACACACGTGCTAGTACCTGGAGAGACGCAGGATGATGCGTTCTCCAGGCTGAGGGTGGTAGTCCTGAATGCCTGCAAAGAAAGAGTGAGAACTCAGGGAAACAGCAACAACTAATTACACTTGTACAGCGTCCTTCAGGTTGGAAAGAAAGACGTCCCACGGAAACACAGATCAAGCCCAGAGAAGGCAAAAAACACACCCCCTTCAATAAGAAACAATCCTTACATTTGGTAAGGCACCTTTCACGTCAGGAGGACGTCTCAAAGCGCTTCACACGATATACCGTGACTCTCTGTTTTGTGGGTGAACACACAAGCAATTTGATTGAACACAGAGATGTCCCATGGCGTGAGTGACCAATTTTGATTTGGGCATTTGTCAGCCAGGTCACCGCGAGAGAGGAACTCCATTTTCTTTTCGAATAGAGTCACGGGATCTTTAACGTCCACCAGACAATTGTCACACAGGCAGGAATCAGCTAACTCAGCTCAGCCCAGTCTGTAGGGCTCGGTAACCAGACTATGTGTCTACCCCGAGCCATTGAGGGGAGCTCTTCCTTCAAGTTGGGTCTCAGCTGGAAGCTCCAGCCCAACTCAATACAAAGTTCTCCCATTACCCCCCCCCCCCCACCCCCTTCCCTCCCCTGCTGCTGAGGTTGGGATCCACCCAAGTCCCGAGATCACCCTCTGCCCCACTCATTGCAGCTGCAATCACTATCTAAACTCCTCTCACCATGGATCAGGGCTTTTTTCTCCGCTGTGATCAGCTGCCAGTAGATCTTGTGATGCTTTTGTTCCTTCATGCCATTGACTGAGGTCAGCAAAGGTCCCCATCTCGTCTGCTTGGTCTCAAATCTGCAGCCAGTAATAATAATAATAGTAATAATAATAACAATAATACCAGTAACAGTAATAATACGAGTAATAATAATCCTTACATTTGATATAGCACCTTATCACGTCTTCGAGACATCTCAAAGCGCTTCACAGATTATACTGTAAAGTCAATTGACTGTATATTTTGTGGGCGAAATGATAATAATAGTATTATTATTATCATTTCTCTTTTTGCAAGTATTATTAATAATACTTGCAAAAAGAGAATTGGATATATACTTGAAAAGGAAAAAAATCTTGTACGAGTGATGTTACTCAAAGGCATTTGCTAACAATTCAAAAAGAAGTAGCAAAAAAATCAGAGGGTGGGGGGGGAGGGGGGGGGAGATGAGGAGAAATCTTTTTACGCAACGAGTTGTTACGGTCTGGAATGCACTGCCTGAAAGGTGGTGGAAGCAGATTCAATAATAACTTTCAAAAGGGAATTGGATATTTACTTGAAAAATGTACTCGTTCCTCCCACCTACCTCCGCGACCTCCTAACCCCCTACCAACCTGCCCGCTCCCTCCGCTCAGCGGGCTTCGACCTGCTTCAAGATCCCCCACCTCGCCTGCCCCACCACTGGCCTTCAGTCACTCTGCCCCCACCCTCTGGAACGCCATCCCGCAGTCCCTCCGCCTCGCTCCCTCCCTTGCCTCCTTCCAAGACCCATCTCAAGACCCTCCTCTTCGATCGTGCTTTCGATCACCCTCCTTCCCCACTCCCCCCACCCCACCCCCCCCCCACTTCCATCCTCCCCAATCCTAATTGAAGTGGGTTAAATCCGAACGAATCTGTGGAAACACTGTTTCAGTGAGCGAGTATTAAACATATGGAACAGGATCCCGAGGGAGACGGTGGAAGCAGAAAGTGTCGAATCTTTCCAAAACAAAATTAGATAGATTTCTTTTAGGAAATAGTATCTCGGGAACACAGTATATAGTCTGGGACACGACATGTGCAAGCAACTGCCAGGATGGTGGAAGGCGAGCTGGATGGACCTTAATAATAATAATAATAATCTTTGCATTTGATATAGCGCTTTTCAAGTCTTCTCGACGTCTCAAAGCGCTTCGCAGAATAGACTGCAAAGCGAATTGGCCGTATATTTGTGGGCGAAACACAGCAGACAATTGTGCACAGCAGTGTCCCACAAACAGTCATGGATTGAGTGACTAATTTATTATTTTTTTTGCTTTGGAGGGATTATTACTAGGCATGTGGAGTAAGGAAACTTGCCCAAGGTTTCGCCCTGCCTTGGTCTTCTCTCACCTTACAAATTCTTATGTTCTTATGTGGAGCGCTATGAATCGCTGCCCCGTGTGAGGGTATAAATGCAAGTTGTTGCTGCTGCTGTTGTTGTAATGCAGAGTAACAGAGCGCTCTGATAAAAAATAATAAATAATAATACTTGTGTTTGATACAGCGCCTTATCACGTCTTCGAGACGTCTCCAAGCGCTTTTCCTGCCATACACTGTAAAAAGTGTATGTTTTGTGGGCGGAACGAGAGCAGCCTTCCCCAGCAACGTGTCCCTGGATCTGCTGCAGAGACTCCTGAAGCTCTTACGTGAAGTTCCGAGTCCTCTTCGCTTCTTCCAGAACATCGAGCAGCGAAGTGCCAGCACGCAGCGGCAGTGTGACCTCACCGTAACACACCTTACCGTCCGCATCCTTCACCATCAGGTTGACCGAGTGGGCCTCTCCGTCCGGCTCAACCTCGCCTCCCGCACTGGCCTTCAGCAGCGTGAGGTCATCTGGTCAACACGAGAAAGAGCCTCACTTTACTGAGGTTCTGCCCCACAATCCTCCAATCCTTACCTGGCTCCTCGCCTCCCCCCACCACCGCCCGCCCCCACTCCGCCCCCCCCCCCCCCACCCACGGATTGGATTCAAATGCTTCATTCTGACCTTCAAATCTCTTCCGCTCCCTTCTACCCCACACTGAGCCCCAACGCTCTTGCCCACTCCCTCCGCTCAGCGGATGTGCAGCAGCTCGAAGTGAAACAGGGAGCACAGCAAAACTTCAATGGGTTCATTGGAAGGAGGGGGCAAAAGCATAAGAGATGGAGTCATCCATCTATACCCTAACATTGACCAGGGAATTTACCTTCCCCCGAACCGCAGAAGAGGATGAGATCTCTGTGCACCCGAGTGCTCTGTGCCCACCCCAACCACCGCCCACATCCAGTGGGAGACCTCGGTCGTGTAATAAACAGATAAAGTGGTATTGAGTCACGTGCTCAATTTGGTGGCATTCTTGCCTCTGAGTCAGAAGGTTGTGAGTTCAAGCCATATGTCAGGACTTTGACCTCAATATAATATAGGCTGACATTCCTTCAGATAATCAAAGCCCGATTCTGCCGGTTCAGATGGATGTTAAACATTCCTATTCAAAAGTTTTTCCCTCTCTCAGTGTCCTGGCCGACAATCCCCCAAACAGAATTGGATATTCACTTCATAGCTGTTTGCAGGATATCGCCGTGCGTGCAAACTGGCTGCCGGCTTCACCCACATGGAAAAAAAAACAGTCGCTACATCTTACTCTTCGAACATCAAAGATCCTAAATCAAATGTAAGGACAACTATTATTTCTTACCGGAATCAGTACAGGTTATTTGCTTGATGTCCAATAGGGTTTTTTTATACAGAATAGGCAAGAGTTGAGCGAGTGCCATTGGATTGTCAAAGACTCCTTTTTTGGCCTCATCCACCAATCTCTGTCTACCTCTCAGACAGTTGTCACTTGGCTCCATAGCACACAGAGCCTAGGAACAACAATACAAAATTACATTTACACCGCACCTTGCACATCGGGAGGATGTCCCAAGGCGCTGGACAGTCAGGGATCTGGACCCGACCTGGGGGGGGGGTTTGGGATCAGGGAGGGGTGGAGGGCAGGGAAGGTAGGAGATTGGCCGAAGGCGCGGTCGAAGAGGAGGGTCTTGAGACGTGCCTTGACCGAGGCAAGAGGGGGAGGGAGCGAGGCGAAGGGAATGCAGGATGGAGTGGGGGCGGAAACGCTGCTGGTCGGACGGGCCGGGCAGGAGCCCGCTAAGTGGAGGGAATGGACATGTGGTTATGGGGTTAGCAGAGGGATATCAGTGCACAGGTCTATTGTGGTGGTGGTGGGGAGATGTTAGGGGAGACTGAAAGTTAGGAAGGAGGCACTGAGGCAACGCTTCAGACAATACCTGTCACGTAATGGTCAGGAGGTTAATGAGCCAGTGACCGGTGACTCAACAGCAACAACTTCCATTTATACAGCGCCCTTTGGGTGGTGTTGGGTTTCGGAGCGCGTAACACTGGCAGAGCTTAACGCTGAGCCGGGGAGAGAGGGGGTGGGGGGTGGGGTGACCATAGGCACAGTCTTAGAGGAAGGTCTTCAGATGTGAACTGAAGATGGACAAGGAGGGAGCGAGGTGTAGGGATCGAGTCAGAGAGGTGCAGGATTTGGGGGTGAGGGCTGATGGTGGAGCAGAGCAGAGTGGAGGGGACGAGGGATGTGCATGGAGGAACGAGGGACGGAGGGAGCCGGCTGAGCCCTTTAAGGAGAGATGGTACCTGCAAACCCAGGGAAGTACTGTAGATGTTCTTGAAGGTTCCGTCACCTTGCTGTTCAGGCTGGATGTGATTGATCAGCCTCTCCACTGCTTCCGTTACCTTGTTCAGTGTTTGGTTGCTGTACGGGCTTCCTCCTGCTGGCAGACTGGCGTTCTGCACGCACTGAAAGGCCAAAGCCGCCATCGCCACCGAGTCTGACGGCAAAACCACGAGACAGTCATCACGCCAACCCCTCACAGCCACAGACAGACACGGCACATCCAGCCTCCACAGCAAACCAAACCCCTATATCTTGCTCCCCCTTCCCAGAGGGAAACACCACACAGAAACCACAGAAAATACTCAAATTCAGCCTTAATTTAGTTCCTGGTCTTTTAAGTAAATTGGTAAATTGGCTACCAACATCCCATCCCATCTCATCCGTGCCTGGCTCCTCGTTCCTCGCCCCCATTAGATAGGCTACAATTCCCTTCTGATCTTCAAATCCTTGAGCTCCTTCTGCCTCACACTACCCCACCTGTAACCCTCCACGTCCCCCCCCCACACACTTTCTTACACAGGCTCTGTTCTTCTCAAGCTTAGCTGCAGGACCTCTGTCCCGACCAATGCCAATCCTGTCGGAGCTCCAGGTTTAAGCGCCGAAGAGAGGGTGAAGGACGTGCAGTTAGTTTGACCAACTACTCGGTCAATTAATTTGACCAAGTCATTGATCAAACTTGGTCGCCCTTTGAACAACTACCGTACTGGTAGGAGTTGAGTCAAAGGGTGTCTGTCGTCTAGAATTACAACAGGAATTGGGGATGAACTGGACACAAACACTGAACAGTCGTCCCACTGAAGTGATTTGTCCCAGAGAGGAACAGAAGGAAGAGGTGAGTAGAAGAGCGGGTAAGGGGAAGATCATAGAGATAGGGTTTGTCCCACAAAACACAGTCACCACACTTTACAGTGAAGCACTTTGAGACGTCTCGAAGAAGGGGTGGGGGGAGAGAAGGTGATCGCAGGTGACATCGTAGCGGTAAGTCTTCAGGTGCGATTTAAAGGTTGATAAGAGAGGGGACGAGCGGAAGAATTGAGTGAAGCAGTTCCTGAGGTTAGGGATGAAATGGCTGATCACATACATACATACCAGGGTTTCTTACCTATGGGTTTGTGTGGGGATTTGTTTTCCCAGAAAATGCCATCGGCTAGTTTTGCCAAGATATAATGATGAATGTGTATTTTGTTCAGGCAGAGAGCGATCACGCCCAGACTGTACTGATAGTAGTTGGTCAAAGGCTGTCTTTGATCTAGAATTACAACAGGAATTGGTGATGAGCTGGACACGAGCACTGAACGACTGGCGCGATTTGTCCCAGAGAGGAACACCGATGAATTCTACATGTCGCACACCCACTAGAAGCTAACACATGATTTCCGTGCATTAACATCTCTTCCACCTGCTGACACACAGATTCCTACACATGCTACGTACCTTCCTGCTGGGTTGTGAAACATGCCGAGAGCCTCGGTGGGCTTCTCCCTACAGAGGGAGGTTGCAATGAGTTGCAGAAGTGGGGCATGGGTCTCATGATTGACATGTTAAACTCCAGCAGTTACCCCATTGGAAACTCTGGGGTCCCCAAGCCTTGCTCTTGGCAACCTGTGCCTAATACTCTCCGGGATTAGGTAAGCAGGATGTGTCCCTCCAGGGAGAGAGAGAGAGAGTATACATTCCGTTCCAACAGTCTACCTCTGGGATTCCCATGTGGAGGTGGGATGCATGGAATTGAGTCCTGTAGCTCAGTGGTTAGAGCAGTCGCCTCACAAGCGAGAGACCCGGGTTTGATTCCAGGCAGAGGGCGAAACCTTGGGCAAGTTTCCTTACTCCACACACTTGATAATAATCCCTCCAAAACAAAACACTAATAAATTGGTCATTTCAATCCACAAAGGGTACAGCAGAAATGTGCCTGGTTTGAAGGCTTCAAGAGTACATAAGAACAGAAAAATAGGAGCAGGAGTAGGCCATTCGGCCCCGCGAGCCTGCCCCACCACTTAATAAGATCATGACTGATCTTCTAACCTAGTTCCATTTACCCACCCTATCCCCATATCCCTTAATTAAAAATCTATCGATCTCAGTCTTGAATATGTTCAATGTCTAGAGCATCCACAGCCTCTGGGGTAGAGAATTCCATCAATTCACTACCCTCTGAGTGAAGAAATGTTTTCTCAACTCAGTTCTAGAGGGCTGACCTTTAATCCTGAGCCTATGACCCCTAGTTTTAGATTCTCCAACCGGGGGAAACAGTCTCACAATATCTACCCTGTCAAGTCCCTTAAGAATCTTTCCAGGCAGAGGGCGAAACCTTGGGCAAGTTTCCTTACTCCACACGGTAAGGAATAATAATCCCTCCAAAACCAAAAACAATAATAAATTGGTCATTTTCAATCTACGACTGTTGTGGGACATTGCTGTGCGCAATTGGCTGCCGCGTTTGCCCACAAATATACAGTCAATTCACTTTACAGTGTACTCTGTGAAGCGCTTTGGGACGTCCTCCCGACGTGAAAAGCGCTATATCAAATGCAAGGATTATTATTATTATTATTATTATTATAGGTTTCTATAAACTCATCTCTAATTCTATATTCTAGAGATTATAGGCCTAGTTTACTCAACCTCTCCTCCTAGGTCAACCCCCTCAACCCAAGAAGCAACTTAGTCAACCTACGTTACACCCGCTCTAAGGCAAGTATGTCCTTTCTTAGATAAGGAGACTTGTACATCTTGTAGTTCTCATTCTGACCACAAAGTGGCAACAAGGTCCATTCCTGGTGCAACACTGCCACCTGGTGATAGAGGGCTTGAGGCATTGAAGAAAACATGACCAAGTGTGATCACAAGATACTAATCCTTGTGTTTGATGCAACAACAACAAATTACATCTGTACAGCATCTTTCACGTCTGGAGGACATCCCAAGGCGCCGAGACAGTCAGAGAACTGCATTCGAGCAGGTGGTTGGGATTAGGAGGGGTGGAGGGTGAGGAGGGTAAGGGGGAGGTGACCGAAGGCAGTCGAAGAGGAAAGTCTTGAGACGGGTCTTGAAGGAGGCAAGTGTAGAGGCAATGTTTATTTTGTGGACCAACCCCGCGGCCAATTTTGTGCACAGCAACGTCCAACAAACAGCCACGGAGCGAGTGACCAGGTTGGGATGAAGCCCTTGTAAACAACATCTTTGTGGAGCTGCTAAAGCGGTCGGGAAAGCAACTAAGATAAAGACAGGTGACTCTGTTTCCGATTGCATTGCTCCTAATCTAAACACACTGGTCTGTAAGTAACAGGAGGGGTGAGTATGTGGGGGTTATGGACAGCAAATCCTAATGCCAATGAGACTCAATGGTCAATCTCAGGTGAAACCACAGTGGGGTATGTCTCCCTCTAGTGGTGCAATCTTCAGTCACATTAGTAACTGCACACCACAAGATCGGTTCAGTGCAGAAGGCTCTTCGACCCTTTTCACCTCATTCTTCCAGAAAAGCCCCTCTACCATCTCCACACTCACAGCATCCACTTGTTTTTTGTTGAAGAATAAGCTCAGCATCCAGCCCTCAACCACCCTCTGTGGTAACCGGAGGCAGTGATTAATTATCATCTGGTTAAAGGGAAAACGCCTTTTCTTCAGGTTGCTCTCCGTATCTGCTGGGACCAGCATCCCATTCATTTTATTTTACCCGGGCTGACACTCCAATACTGGGTGTCAACCGGACTCAGTGGTAGCACACTTGCCTCGGAGTCAGAAAGTCGTGGGTTTGAGCCCCGTGTCAGGAACTTTGAATCAGATTGCACTGTCGGGAGTTGAGACGTTAAACCGAGGTCCTGAGGTCTACCTGTCCAGGTGGACGTTAAGGTTCCCACGGCACTGCTTAAAAAAGAGAAAGGAGTTTCTCTACCCTGGTGTCCTGGTCAACAGGCCCCCAAATAAAATTGGTCATGGCTATTTGTGGGCCACTGCTGTGTGCAAATTGGCTGCCTACAAAATACACTTTATAGTAAACTCTGTGAAGCGCATTGGCATGTCCTCCCAACACGAAAGGCGCTATATATGAAATGTAAGGATTCTGATGATTATCCCACGAAAAAGTGTAGAAAAATACTTTTCCAGACACTGTTACAACTATCTTTACACGTGGGCTCCTAATGGTAATGAAGGTATATTCTAGGAGAAAAGAAAGGCCGAAGGTACACACCCCGGACGTGCTCCTTCTCTGCACGTAGCTTCTCCTTCAAACAGGTTATAGCTGTGTTCTCTGCGGACATGTCCTGGCACGAGGATTGGAGAGCGAGTAGGTAGAGAGCGATGAGACCTGTGGAGGGTCCTGATGAAGCATTACAGCTTCAGCACAGAGAGAGAGAGAGAGAGAGAGAGAGAGAATGCAATGAGCATCAATTGGTGTTTAGAAGCTAATAAGTTGAAACCATTTAACTTTCTATCAATTCCTCCACCAAACTCGCTATCAAACATCAACATATCTCAGAATTGCTCATGCCCTCAGCGACATCGCCCATTTAGTGTACAATTGTGCTGATGTTTGGTTAATTTGGGCTGTAGGCTCACGTTCACTATATGTGGAGTTGAGAAGGACCCAAGCTCATTTTGCACAGGCTTCTTGATTCAGCAATGAGAGGAGGGGACAACAGCAAATTACACTTGTCTTGCACCTTTCACATCGGGAGGACGTCCCAAGGCACTGGACAGTCAGGGATTGGGGTGGAGGGCAGGGAAGGTGGGGTTAGGAGGGTGATCGCAGGTGTGGCTGAAGAGAAGGGTCTTGAGATGGGCCTTGAAGGAAGCAAGGAAGGGGGGGCAAGGTGATGGGACGGTGGGATGGAGTTCCAGAGGGTGGGGGCAGAGAGGCTGAAGAATGGGGGACGTTACTGGTGCTTGAGGGCATATTCAGCATTTTGGATCAATTTTTCTCTTTAAGATCTTATTCTCATAATATCGGATAGTAATAGATTGGTCTTGTTCTGATAACCAGTTGTTAGTATTATTATTATTATAGGAGAAACTATTTCCTCTGGTGGGAAATCTAGAACACGGGGCCATAACTTAAAATTAGAGCTAGGCCATTTAAGAGTGAAATCAGGAAGCATTTTTTCACGCAAAAGGTAGTGGGAATCTGGAATTCCTCTCCCCCAAAAGGCTGTGGATGCTGGAATCCATTCAAATTTTCAAGGCTGAGATGGATAGATATTTGTTAGGTCAGGGTATCAAGGGATATGGGGCAAAGGCGGGTAATAGGAGTTGATGTACAGATCAGCCACAATCTAATAGAATGGCGGAACAGGCTGGAGAGGCTGAATGGCCTCCTCCTGTTGCTATTATTATTGGTTGGGTAATGAGTTGAAAGGGAGCTGTGCTTTGTGGTCTTGGTCTGAGCCAGTGGAGGGCTTCTCTACAGACTAAGGAGACAGGAAGGGTTACCTCTTCAGTTTGTGCTTGAAGTGCTTCTTAAGCTCCTTTAGGTATTTCTGCTCATCCTGCAGGTTGTGAGGGGTGGCGAGGCGCAGTGCGATGTGGAAGCTGGGGTTGGGGTGGGCCGGGCTCGGCTGTATAAACTGCAGGAGGCGGCGACTCAGAGAATTCACGTCATCTTCAAACCTGTCGTTGACACCTGATCCGGATCCGAAGGAAACAGGTTGTTTTATCTCCTCGTTTCATTGCCTTACAAAATTTTTTTATTATCCTTTCATTTGATACAGCGCCTTATCACGTCTTCGAGATGTCTCAAAGCGCTTCACGGAATATATTTTGTGGGCGAAACGCGGCAGCCAATTGCACACAGCAGAGTCCCACAAACAGTTGTGAATTGAGTGACCAAATTATTATTATTTTTTGAGAGATTATTACCCCTGGAAAAGCGATCTGCCAATCGACTAACAACCGGGTTCCTGCTTACTGCTGGTAAACAGAGGCGTGTGAAGTAAGGAAACTTGGCCAATGTTTCGCCCGGCCCGGGAATCGAACCAAGAGGACGTAGGTTTAGAATTGGGCTACACTGTTGGAGATGCCGTCCTTCAGATGAGACATTAAACTGCTCTACAACACGTCGTCAATCTAATTGGATCTCAAAGTCTCTGAGAATGGCTTAGGCAATGTTACGGCAATCAGAACACAATGAGCAACTGATCCCATGCCCACACCCTGCCCCCTCTCCACCACTTGCACACAATAGTACATTGCTTTATGAAGTTAAATGGCGAATTAAGAAAGAGAAATGAAACTGAAGCAGGAAGTAGGAAAGGATCCTGGGACGGGAGCTAGGGTGGGTGCGTGGGTTATGGTTGGAGTGTTGCATTATGAGCCGAGGATAAAAGAATTACTTAATTAATTAATTAATCAATCAATCCGCGGAAACACTATTTCAGTGAGTGAGCAGTAAACTTTATGGAACAGGTTCCCTAGAGAGATGGAAGCAAAAGGGATGAAGGGATATGGGGATAAGGCAGGTCAGGTTATTAGCTGGAGTTAGATTAGAAGATCAGCCATGATTGAATGGCGGGGTAGGCTCGAAGGGCCGAATGGCCTATTCCTGCTCCTACATGTTATGTTATGTTAAAACATTGTTTGTTTCAAGAACAAATGAGATAGGTTTCTGCTAGAAAATATTATCTCGGGGTACAATATAGTATATGGTTTGGGACACGACATGTCAAGCGACTGCCAGGTTGGTGGAAGGGGAACTAGATGGACCTTGGTCTTCTTTCGCCAGCAAATTCTTATGTTCTTAATCGCACCAGCTTCATGGACTGAGAATCATTACATACACAGTCCTTGTGTGTAATCACTCACGAACGCCCACGAGACAGGCTCCAATGTGTTAATTTCTTGCTTTCCTGCTTGGTGGAGCTGCGCAAGGCCAAGCTGAGAGGAAACAAATGAAGTCAGCAGTTTTTTAATCGGCTCAGCTCAAAATTCAAGATTGCAATCACAGTAGGACGTCAAAGAGATTTTCCTGCCCTTTAAGCTGACTTTTCCGCTTAAAGGGGAAGTTCAGTCAACTGAAATGTCATACAAGACTTTCGACAACAACAACTCGCATGTATATAGCTCCCTTCACAGGGTAGCTTCCCGGAGCACTGGCGGAGTCTGATCCTCAGCCGGGGGAGAGGGAAGGGGGAGGTGACCGTAAGCACGATCAAAAAGGAAGGTCTTTAGATGGGATTTGAAAGTGGGGAGGAATGGAGCAAGGCGGAGGGATTGAAGGGGAGAGTTACAGAGACTTAGTGTTGCAAAGGCATAACCTACAAGCTAGTGCTCTTCAGTCTTGAGAGAAGATGATTCAGAGGGGACCTCGTAGTGATGTACAGAATGTTAAACGGGATTGAAAAAGTAAATGCAGATCAATACTTTAGGATGTATCAAGCCGGAAGAACAAGAGGACATAGGTTTGAGTTGTGTTGAATTGTCAAGAGATACCGTCCTTCGGATGAGACATTAAACCAACATCCCATCTGCCTTTTCAGGTGGACGTCAAAAATGTCCACGCCGCCATTCGAAAAGAGAAGAGTTTCTCCTGGTGTCCTGGTCAACAATCCCCCAAATAAAATTGGCCACTCACTCCGTGGCTGTTTGTGAGACATTGCTGTGTGCAAATTGGCTGCCACGTTTCGCCCACAAAATATACAGTGCAGTCAACCCACTTTACAGTATATCCTGTGAAGCGCTTTGAGTCGTTTCAACAATGTGATAAGGCGCTGTATCAAATGCAAAGGTTATTATTATTATTATTAACAAATAGACCCGAGAGGCTTGTTGAGGTTATACTCACTGCTCAGGGTGGCTGGGAGGAAGAGAACCTGTGCGCAGATGAACAGCAACAGCGCTCTGGGCTCCATGATTCTCAGCAAAACTGCCTGCTTGGAAACCCACAAAAGTGCAATCACTCAAAGGAAGGAAGAGACGTCCGTTAGCGGAGAAGGAAAAGAACTTGGGAGACAGTCACTGAACATTCATAACCTCAGCAACAAAGGAAACCCAAACTCTTGGATGAGTGATGTTACTCAACGGCATTGGCCAACAGTTCAAAAAGAAGTTATCCTGACCTTGTCTGTATCACATCATTTAAAGCACCGCACATTCAAAGGTAGATTAGTGCCAGCCTAGCTCCGTTGGTAGCATTCACCTTCAAGCCAGAAGGTTGTGGGTTTAGGATCCACGTCAGGACATTGCTGTGCTGGGGGGGTTGGGGAAGGGGTGTTACATTGATAGGAGGTGCCCTCTCTCGGATGAGGTGTTAAACGGAGGTCCCGGCCAATAATCCACCAAACAAAAGCGGTCACTTATTTCATGGCTGTTTGCGTGACTTTGCTGTGTGCACAATTTGGCTGCCACAATGGCCCACAAAAACACAGTATATAATAACAATCCTTCCATTTGATATAGCGCCTTATCACGTCGTTGAGACGTCTCAAAGCGCTTCGCAGAATATGCTGTAAAGACTGTAAATATTGTCGGCGAAACGCAGCAGCCAATTGCGCACAGCAGCGTCCCACAGACAGCCATGGATTGAGTGACCGCATTATTTACTTATAGGCAATTTATTTCTTTATTTAATTGCAGGCAAGTATCTCTGGTGAAGCGCTTTGAGACGTCCATCTGTCTGGGAGCAAAGGCTCTGGAGTAAGGCTGGTCAGGGAGACATTCAGTGCGGAGTGAGCAGCACAACACCACAGATCACAAGGACAACATAACCCAAGCAGAACAAGTGAAGAGAGAGAGAGACTCACACACACAGACACAGAAACATAATAGAGAGAAAGAGAAAAAGAAACAGAAAAAGAGAGAGAAAAAGACAGAGGGAGAGAGAATGAGAAAGCGAGAGAAAGAAAGCGAGAGAGAAAGAAGGAAAGCAAAAGAGAAAGAAAGAAGAAAGAAAAAGAGAAAGAAAGAAAGAAAGAAAAAGAGAAAGAAAGAAAGAAAGAACGAAAGAAAGAAAGGAGTAAGATTGAGAGAGAGAGAGAAAGAAAGAGAAAGAGATAGAGAAAGAAAGAAAGAAAGAAAGAAAGAAAGAAAGAAAGAAAGAAAGAAAGAAAGAAAGAAAGAAAGAAAGAAAGAAAGAAAGAAAGAAAGAAAGAAAGAAAGAAAGAAAGAAAGAAAGAGAAAAAGAGAGACAAAAAGAAAGAAAAAAGCCTTTAAACAAAAGGCAGAGGCGGTGGAGCAGTAGCCTCTGCCCACCCCCAGGGCAGAGCTGTGATCATCTTACCCTGAGCAGGTCCAACTGAGGGAGAGGGAGAGGGGGAGAGGGAGAGGGAGGGAGAGGGAGGAGAGAGGAGAGGGAGGGGGAGAGGGGGAGAGGGAGAGGGGGAGGGAGAGGGGGAGAGGGGGGAGGAGAGGGGGGAGGAGGGGGGAGGAGGAGGGAGAGGGGGGGGGGAGAGGGGGGGAGAGGGGAGAGGGGGGAGGGGGAGAGGGGGGGGAGGGAGAGGAGGGAGAGGGGGGAGAGGGGAGGAGGGGGGAGAGGGGGGAGAGAGGGAGAGGGAGAGGGGGGAGAGGGAGGGAGAGGGAGAGAGAGGGAGGGGAGGGGAGAGAGAGAGAGGAGAGAGCGAGAGGGGGAGAGGGAGGGAGAGAGCGAGAGAGGGGGGAGAGGGAGGGAGAGAGAGAGGGGAGAGAGGGGGAGAGGGAGAGAGAGGGAGGGAGAGGGGGAGAGAGGGGGGGAGGGGGGGGAGGGGAGAGAGGGAGATGACAAACGAGGTCCAGCAGCAAAACAGGGGTATCAGGACCAGGGACCCTCTGCCCCACAGAGAGCCCAACAACAGCTCAGTGATCAAACCTTGAGGAGCACTTTCCAAGTCAGTTCCCAGTGTGTCATGTGAGCTCTCCCTCAGCTGACTGTCACCTCCAGCCCCTGTGCTCTCTCTCTCTCTCTCTGTATATATATATATATATATATTCCACCCTTCGCTACGTTAGGGCAAAAGACCTTCCCCCACCTCTCAAATCCTTCCTGATTTACCTGTTGGACCTGAACCTGCTCCACTTTGCAATGGACTTAGAATGAAATACCTGCAAATGTTTCTTTGCTCCAGTGAATCAATTGCCTCCCAGAGAAATAAATAACCTTGGGGTGGGGGTGGGGGTGGGGGGGGAACTATCACACAGTTACTTGTGTGTGTGTGTGTGTGTGTGTTTGATCCAAGACCTTCAGTGTAGTTTGTCAGCCCTGACACCAGCATTGTGATAGGACACAATCGATATCAGAAGCCTTGTAAATGTTTGCAAGATTAAAGTCCATTTTTTTTCATCATGTAGCTTTGCACTATATATATATATATATATACACACATATAATTTAGGAACACGATTTTTTTTTACCATGTAAGTGTTCAGGCGGATGTTAAAGCCCACACCCCACCGCCAAACAAAATCGGTCGCTCGCTTTGCGTCTGCTTACGGGGGGCCATTTGCCGTCCGCAAATTTGCTGCCGCGTTCGCCTACAAAATGCACAGTCACGACGCTTCGCGGTAAAAATGTCGCAAAGCGGTGTGAGACGTCTGGACGACGTGATAAGGCGTGCTATGAGTCGCAAGGATTACTGTGTTCGAGTGACGGGCTGCTAAGCCGATCGGGGGTGACGAGCAGGTTTACTTAGGCAAGCTATATATCCACAGCAACCACATAAGGGGCAATAGCGACTGCAGTCAGGAGAGCTGAAATAAGGAGAAGATCTGTAGATACCCGTGGAGGAGCATGTGGTGCACCAATGCCTTCATCATGCCTTCCGTTCCACCATCAGTGGCCGCACTTTCAGCCGCTACGAGCCCAAACTCTGGAGCACCCCCTGTATCTTCCTGTATCCCTCTGCCCTGCCCCTTCCTTCCCCATCTTCCTGTATCCCTCTGCCCTGCCCCTTCCTTCCCCATCTTCAGATTGCGCCTGTAGAGCTTCCTCTTCTATGGTCACCTCCGCCCTCCCCCCTCCCCGTTGTGCTCTGCCACTGTCAAGCGCTCTGGGACGCTACCCTGCGTGGGGGGGGTGGCACTGTTCAAATGCAAGTTGTTGTTGCTGTTGGAGTTTAATGCCAAGCAAGGGAGAAAGAGGAACCCACAACCTTCTGACTCACAGACAAGATTGATCAGCCAGGTGTCTGACACGTGGGGAAACCCATCAACTGTGTTTAAGAGTCTGTAAACCAAGCTGAGATTACCATGCGTCCCAACTACACATGGAAATTCCAGTGGTAGATGGTGGAATTGAATGTGCACTCTCTCCCTGGAGGGACTCATCCTACTTACCTAACTACATACAAAAGAGCCCTGGTGCTTGGGCTTGAAGTCCAAAATGTCCCGGCCTGGGTTATGCCAGTTTCACTGTGCATACTGTGCGCATACATTCAATAAGAACACAGATGTCATCAACCTCATATATTTCTGGCTTGGCATGGCTTTATTAATTCATTCCAGATTTATTACTTTATTAATTCCAGGCAGGGCGAAACCTTGGGCAAGTTTCCTTACTCCACACGCCTGATAATAATCCCTCCAAAACAAAACAATAATAAATTGGTCATTTTCAATCCACGACTGTTTGTGGGACACTTCTGAGCGCAATTGGCTGCCGCGATTCACCCACAAATATATGGTCAATTCACTTTACACTCTATTCTGTGAAGTTCTTTGAGACGTCGAGAAGACGTGAAAAACGATATAAAAAATGCAAGGACTATTATTATTATTATTATTTATACAGGACTGCCTTCAAACTTTCTTAATAACAAAAATAACAACAATAACCCTTACACTTGAGACAGTGCTTTTTACATCAAGAGGACGTCTGGAAGCGCTTCACAGGAAATTATACTAAGTGTAGAGACTGTGTATTTTGTAGGCGAATCTTCATTCACATTAAATGTTGAAATGAAATTAACACGTCTGCAAGTTGGAATCGCTCTTCACATTTTTCACCTTTTATGTCTCCATTTGAAGACCAAATAGGGCTTTGAAACTTTGCATTGTTCTTTGCTCGTAGGAGCAAAGTCTGAAAGTGCTTCATAAGCGTTCAAACCTGTCAACAAACATTACAAGACAATGGCTGCATTGATGCTGTATTCTTCACTTTCACGTGGCTCAGAGTATCAACGTAATCATTTGTTCACTCAATCCATGACTGTTTGTGGGACACTGCTGTGCAGAATTGACTGCTACGTTTCACCCACAAAAATATACTGTGATTCATTTTACAGTATATTCTGTTAAGTGCTTTGAGACATCTCGAAGGCGTAATAAGGTGATATATCACAGATTATCAAGGATTATTTACTATTATAATATTGCAGTGGAATCACAAAGAGATTGTGAAGCATTATACAGCATTCATATTTTGGCATTTCAGCATAATATCTCACAATAACCTTGTGGGGTACAGTGCAGAACTAATGTACAAGTTTCAGCGCTTTGGGACGTCCTCCCAATGTGAAAGGCGCTCTATAAATGTAGTTTTGTTGTTGTTGTACAAGTGCATAATCTCCATGCAAGTGCATGACACTGTCACATGAGGGTCAGCTGACAGGGCCTCTTTAGAGTTCTTCAGCCTCAATGTCCTAACCTTTGTCCTATTATAATTGGAATATAGATGCCTGACTGCAGTGTCTGTGTCAGGGGATATAGTGGGCAAAACTCGGCAGCCAATTGAATACAGAAATGTCCCACAAACGTCCATGGAGGGAGGGACCAACTTTATTTGGGGGATTGTTGGTCAGCACACCCGGAGAAAGAAACTCCCTTCTCTTTTCAAATAGCGCCTCCGACAATGCAACATACCCCACACTGCATTGGAATGCCAGTTTAGACGATGTGATTCCAAGTCCCGATATGGGGCTTGAACTCACAATCTTCTGACTCAGAGGCGAGAGCGCTACCACTGAGCCAGGCTGACATCAAGCAAATGGGCGAATTGACTGCTGCGTTTTGTTTACAAAAAAAATACATTTCAGTATATCTCAGGAAAGTTTTTGAGATGCCCTCCCGACATAAAAGACGCTATATCAAATGCAAGTTTTTAAAAATTGTTTGTAGTGTATAATATCAGTGGTGGCCAACCTTTTCGGTCGACAACCAAATAGATTTTTCTTGGTCGAATCTTTCTTGATTCATGGCCACGCCATGAAGTCAGTGAGGAATTAGGATTCACAGAACGGACAGAAAGATTCAGGAACCCATTTGTTGGGAGGGACCACTTACTGATTAAGGTTTGGAAAAGGGAAAGTACATTACTTTTACCATCACTGTAATGGGTTTTATGGTGGTGACAAGTGTACCGGTATTATTCCATCATGTGAGAGTTTGTAAAGGAGGGTGATCGAACTTGTGTTTTTACTCCACCCGCCTAATAATAATCCCTCCATAACCAAAAACAATAATACATTGGTCATTTTCAATCTACGACTGTTTGTGGGACATTGCTGTGCGCAATTGGCTGCCGCGTTCGCCCACAAATATACAGTCAATTCACTTTACAGTATGTTCTGTGAAGCGCTTTGGGACATCCTCCCGACGTGAAAAGCGCTATATCAAATGCAAGGATTATTATTATTATTTAGGGCAGGTCACCCTAATCTGAATCAAATTTAGAGTGCTACAACAGAAAAGAAAAGATCATAGTGTAAAATAAACATTATTTATCTATCAAACCTGGGATTGAACCCAACTACAATATTTATATAGTATGTGTATTGATATATACAAGTTTACATTTATGTAGCAACTTTCACATCAGGAGGATGACCCAAGGCGCTTGATGAGAATAAAATCCTCTCTCTCTATCCCTCACTCTCTCTCTCTCTCTGCTAAGTGTAAGGATTCTAAATGAAGTGCCAGTTCCATTCCTGTTCAGACTGGGTCACAAGTACAAAACTTTCCATAATTCAGTACTAATTGCTAGACAGTGGAGACCTGTAGCTCAGTGGTTAGAGCGTTCGCCTCGTATGCAAGAGATCTGAGTCCGATTCCCTGGCAGGGGGAAACTTTGGGCAAGTTTCCTCAATTTTCTATTGACCCTGGTTATAACTAATGTGATCATAGTCACTCTACCGACCATAAAGATGTTGGTAATACTGGACAATAAACAATGTGGTTAGGAAACACTGTGTCCCAGAGGTGGCCCAACCCATGGCTTGATTGGTGGATTGCTTTTCCGGGGTAATAATTCCTTCCCAAAAAGAATAATAAATTGGTGACTGCAGTTACGACTGTTTGTGGGACGCTGCTGTGCGTTGCCGTGTTTCGCCCACAAAATATTACAGTCGATTCACTTTACAGTGTGTTCTGATGGAGACGTTCTGAAGATGTGATAAGGCGCTGTATCAAACGTAAGGATTATTATTATATGCTGTCGCAGTAGATCTCGGTTTTGTTTAAACTGTTTCAAAAAAGACCTACAAAAATGACTGCATCATTTTTATTTTTTCAGCTAAAAATGGTCATATTATTGAATAATGACAATTGAATGATCATATCATGACAAGTGATAACGTCACGCTGCGCATGCGCGTCCCTGCAGACGCAGCCGATCGGACGTCTCGGCAAATACCAGAGCTGCGCGATGACGTAGGGCCAGCCAGGACTACGCGATGACGCAAGGGGGGGTGGAGCCAGGACTACGCGATGACGCAGGGGGGGTGGAGCCAGGACTACGCGTGACGCGAGGGGGGTGGAGCCAGGACTACGCGATGACGCAGAGGGGGGGTGGAGCCAGGACTACGCGATGACGCGAGGGGGGGTGGAGCCAGGACTACGCGATGACGCAGAGGCAGGTGGGGGGGGGGCAGGACTACGCGATGACGTAGGGGGAGCGCGAGAGAGAGAGAGATAGCGAGAGACTCGGCGGCGGCGTCAAAACAAAACAACGCGGTACCGAAGTGTCGAGCGGGAAAGGAGGAGTTCGGGTCGCAGGTAAACAGGAGCGGAGGGGAGAGGAACCGCGCGAGAGAGCGGGAGTCAGGGTCCGGGTTAGCAATGGTCGCGGGGACACACACACAGTAAGTAAGTGGCTGCGGGCCCGGGGCCCGGGGGGGGCCGCGACCGTTGGTGGTGAAGGGACGGCGGCTCGCGCCCGGGCTTCACCTCAGCCTCACCTCGCGCGAGCGAGGTTTGTGCAGCTCCTCCCGGTGGCGCGCTCTGCTCTGCCTTTTGCAATGCAATGCAATGCAGTCCCCCTCCCCCGACCTTCACCCCCAACCCACCCCCACCCTCACCCCCACCCACCCCTTCCTCGCCCCCTCCCCACCCCACCCTCACCCCTCCCCACCCTCACCCTCACCCCCAACCCACCCCCACCCTCACCCCCAACCCACCCCTCCCCACCCTCACCCCACCCCTCCCCACCCTCACCCCTCCCCACCCTCACCCCACCCCTCCCACCCCCACCCACCCTCACCCCTCCCCACCCTCACCCCTCCCCACCCCCACCCCACCCTCACCCCTCCCCACCCTCACCCCACCCGAGCAAACGCCGCTCCCTCCCTCCGTCCTTCGCTTAAATTAACCGCAAGACTGGACGGGGCCTCTGACAACCCGAGAGCGCCAGTTATTGCGTTCAGTTCCTTGCCTCTGCGGCGCCTCGAAGACGTGATCAGGCGCTGCCTCACACGCAAAGGGCTACTGTGGGTGTTATTGTTGTCGTTGTTGTTGTTGTTATACATTCCCAGAGCCTAAGTGTGTGTGTGTGTTTTGGGGGGGTTTGTTGCTGCTGAAGCAGCGCAGCTGAGGGGACAGCACTGGGATGTTGTCTTTCAAGAAAGGGGTTGGGGGGGGAAATGGGTCACGATCCGCACCATCGCGCCGACAAAATCTGGAGCTGTCCCATTTCCACTGACTTGTTCGAGAAGTGTGCAACTGTGCGAATAGAATATAATAGTATTAATCCTCGCGTTTGATATAAGACCATAAGAATTTGCTGGCGAAAGAAGACCAAGGTCCATCGAGTTTGCCTTCCACCATCCTGGCGGTCGCTTGGCATGTGGTATCCCTAACTATATATATATATATGTATAATATATATAATAGCGCCTTATGTTGTTGACATGTTTCAAAGCGCTTCACAGAATATATTGTAAAGTGGATTAACTGTACTTTGTGGGCAAAACGGGTATAATATGGTGAGAAATGTGTTTTTGCGTGCGTTATTTCCACATAACGTTTTCTCATGTTCGGCCCTGTGGCAGCATTTCCAACAGGAACGTCTTTAGCCAATTCATTGCCGACTCAACCAAATTCCGTGACTTTTGACCAATTGTATCTGAGTTTCAAGAATCTGCTTTTGCGGATTGACATCCACAGCCTTCGAAAGCAATGGCTGCACAGAGTTAACTCAATTTGGTGATTTGCCTGCCGTGCGGCGAGGGGCACTGCGCTGGCGAAAGGCAACGGAAGCTGGAATTTCCTTTTCTGACCATCCGAAGGGGGACTGTATATTGGAAGATAGTTATCAATCAGCGTGCTTTGAATGAGATATGGCAAGGCAACAGTTAATTAACACCGGAGTGTTTGGAAATTTTCAAGATTGGAACTATTTTCAACCATTTGGTGGCACTCACTGTCTGCATTGAGCGGTATCCCCTATTACTAAGAGCTAAATATTAAGAAAAAGTTTTGCTTACCTCAACTCCAACTATCCAATCACTTCATGGGTTCTGGTGACCTTGAGCAGAGGTTCTCAACCCAAATTGCTGCCCTAATCCTCCTGGAGGTTCATGCCCCTTCCCCCTTCTAAGATGCAGTGTTTTTGCATGGAACAAGAGGATTTTATTTTTTCAGCTAATAAAATAACAAAGCACCACTACTCTTCTATTATTGAATAATAATAATCCTTGCATTTGATATAGCTGTTGAGATGTCTCAAAGGGCTTCACATGATTTACTGCAAAGTGGATTGAACAATATCCATCAGAACAGGCAGATGGTTTTAAAGTCTCATCCGAAGGACGGCACCTCCGGTAATGTTACATCCCTCCAGCACTGTATTGGCGTGCCAACTATGAGATTCCACGTGTTGCCGTGGGTATTGAACCCACAACCTTCTGACTCAGAGGCAAGAGTGCTACCACTGCAGTAGCACCAGGCTGACACAATAAAGTATTGTGAATAAACTTAGTGAGTTGCATATACCTCTCCCTAGTACTAGGCTTATATTTTTTATTGCAACACATATATTTACCATAAGAGCAACTAATATTTAATAATAAAAAGATAGTATAATAAAAAAAATTGTACACTTACCGTTACATAAAAATACACTTACTTCCCGCCCTGATTCTCTTCTTGTCGCTCTCCATGTGGAGAGGTGCTAACATAAATACTTATTCAGTAAAAGATGAAAGAACCCCTAGATAGGCCAACCCCTGAATAGGCTAAATAGTATTACTATATAGGGGGACAACAACTACTTGGATTTATATAGTGCCCTTCACTCCGGATGGCGCCTCCGCTCAAATACAGCAAGGGACATTAGGGAAGGAAATTTCAAACATTAACCTGCCTTTCATCTGAAGACCTTCCCACCACAAAGACTTACACGTGTGTTGCTAGGTTCTCTCCCAGCATCGTGTTGTCCGCTGTGATCCTGTGCCTGCGCTCTCAACTTGTTTCTCTCTCCTAGGTCAGGGCCCTCTGACTATGACACATCCCAGTAACGTAAAAAGCTGACAACCAGCAAGGGAATACAAAAGTTGGCCAGGCCAGTTAAAAACCAGCCAGGTAGCAACCCTAACTTCTAATCCTAAAGTCTAACCCTGTTAAACTCTTCGCACCCTCTCAGGAAGGGTCGCCCCACAATTTGAAAACCCATAATCTAGAGAATACAGCAACTTGCATTTATTTAGCACTCTTCACTTGGTAGTGGTTTTATGCTAAATAACTTGGTGAATACATGTTATTGCTTTGAGTGGCTTAACATTTAACGGCTGTCTGGTGCTTGTTTATATTGCAGTGATTTCTGGTTTAAAAGTAAAGTGCTTTATTATAAAGCCATGTGAATTATTGGAACATCTGAGCTTTGATGGTTACCTAAAGTATAGTTATTAATATCCCATCTTACAGCAGAAGTATTTGTTTTGTAATGAGAAGCAAGAAAACAGATATAGATCATAAACTTGCCCAATTTCAAAGTTCAATTAGTAGTATAGAAATATGTTTCGAAGCCAGTAGACAGCCTCAACATTTTTAGCTGCTGGATTTGTATTGTTAATTATTCTTCTGTTTGCCAATCTTGTCAAAGACATGGTGACTATGTATTGATATTGTCCCAGAGTGGAGAAGGCATTTTTCAGAGTGAAGAATGCTTTGAAGCAGACTCGAAGACTCCTTGTTAAACAATTTGTATTGTATCAAGACTTCAATTGCCTTAAATTAAGATCCTTGTGTTCAAGGAAAATATTATGTTCAGCACAGGGTATTACCCGATTGGACCTATTCTTTCCAACTTCAAAACCTGCCCTAAAACTCTTTGCTAAGTGCATTTGGCCATCTTACCTTCCCACAACTCTTTCCTTCCCCTTCCCCCAATTCAGTGAAGTGCTACGTGGCACATCCAAATGTCACTGTATAAAGGCGCTGTGTCAATGTAAATTATTGTTGTGTTGAACAGTGCAATGTGATCGTTTGCAAAGAAATATGGGTAAAGTGAATTCCTGGGAGGAGAACTTTGGCTACACACAATTTAACTAAGATCGATGAGGGTATTTTGCAGAATTTGACTTATCCAGCTGAGTGGGAGGTATTGCAGTGTATTTTGGATTGTGTGGGTGGATGTAGATGCAGTCTGCAAAGACTAAATGCATAGTCTGTCGCGTGAAAAGGTTGAGTAGCAGAGGAGCAAGAGTCTAAACTTAATCAGTTACTAGCTTTAGATTTGTGGAATTGTTGCTAAATGTTTGGACCAGGTGGTTGCTCCCATTGGTATGGGATCTGGATGCTCACTGTTTGTGAAATGTTATAAAATGCAGCACTCCATGAAAATGTCATCGAGGCTCTGTGCACAGCTGATCGCAGAGTTTGTAACTGAAACCGAATTGAACATGAATGTTTCTCCCCGGGTTTAATTCTGACTCACACAATACTGATCTTTAAATAGTACGTAAGTGTCTGTGCCTAGCAGTCTAGTGATGATGCCTGGACAGGGTGACCAAAAAGTCGTGATATCTACCCTGTTATCTAAAAAAAACATAAAAATATCATAGTTTCTTTAAAACTTATTAGACATTGTAATGGTATCGCAACTTTTTAGTCGCCCTGTGTTAGTCATTGAATCATGGTTTGTTTGTGATGTCAGTATGTATGTCGTGATGGATTGTCAGCTTTTAGCACATGGCATTTGCCCCAAACCAGGCACCTGCCACATGGAGGTGCACCTTTCGAGAATATACTCATTCCTTTAGTATGGCACATAGAACACCACTTGTTTGGAGGTGGATCTAAACAAGCAATGGTATGTCAGATGAAAACTATGTCAAGGATATGTAATCGTAGTTAAGTAGCCTGCTGACATTCATTTGAACCAAGAATGGCATCTCGAATTAGACATTCCTGGAACTTATGGAGCAGTAGCAGAAAAGTCAACACTGGTGGGATAGAAAAGAGGCCATGAGTAATTACTTCATTACAACAAAGATGTAATGTGACTATCAGAATTAGTATTTGCTCTTTTCCATTCCCAGCATTGCTGTGAGTGCTGGGAATGGAAAAGAAGGGAAGGTCACATTAACAACAACAAAATTATATTTGTATAGTGCCTTTCACATCGGGAGGACGTCCCAAGGCGCTGAAACATTAACCTACTTTTCTCTTGCATGTGCTCATTGACCTTCTGTGTGCATTTCTAACATTTGATATTTTGGAGATAATAGAAAAAACAGAAGAAAATACTTGGCGTGTTCAATATTCAGTTACTGGACTATGTTTGAAAGTGCACTGAAACCAATTATTTTTATATTCATAGTAGTTCTCTTTTCTTCCAGGCCTGATTTACAAGTGGTGGATTTCAAGTTGCATTGTCCATCATGTTAACAACACGCTTTTATGGCTCATCGGCTCCCTCAGGCGGACAGTTCTTTCAATCACCCCCACTGGACATCTGTGGGAAGACTGCACCAAGTGCCCAGAATGAATTGTGCTGGAAGGTGGACTGTTTTGTACCAGATGCTTGTGATCCCAATGCACATCTGAATAGAAGGTATCCCAGGCAGGGCGATGGAATAATTGAAAGTATGGATACGAGCATGGAGCACTACGGATATAACCCAGTGGTGAATGGAATTCGAGCTTCTGCTGGACACTATGAATTTACTAAGCAGCAGTGAGTATTACAAAGTCCTTATCAACATTATTGGGTAGAAATATCCCATCTGGCAGCAAGTTCAAATCAGCACTGTTGGAGGTTCATGAGAAGTTTAGCAGCATTCTCTTTATCAGGTGGTGTGTGGCAGGAAAGACAATGTACTTTCAAATAAGATAATTTTCAGATGATGATTTGTCAGTTTAATATCTTCTGTTGAGCGTAGCTCTGACAATCGCAATCACTCACATTTGCAGAGTTGGTTAGTACTGTAATGTAGCAGATCACTACACGGTTAATGGCTGCAGACTATTGTTGATCTACAACATGGGCATGCGATGGCACTAATCATTAGTAGTAGAATTTATCACCCATCCATTCCTTTAAACACAGTTATCTTTAATTCAAAACCAAATCAAAAGCTATGGCAGAATTTAGAGAACAGAAGATTTTTTTAAGCCTCTTGAACTCACGCTGTGAATTTGAGACATGATTTCCTTCATGAATTTCCTTCTATTTTGTTTATAGTTCAGAGAACATTTTGATGGTAGTGGGAGAAAGTGAAAACATTCAGAGAGTAAATTACTGCCTAGACAAGTGTACAAAGACAGTGATTTACCTAAAATAAACTAAATGTTGCTTCTGCAGGTTTGGCAAGCATCGTAGCCGTTGCCGTAATCTGAACTCTTGACATAAATCACCTACGCTGGGCAGATCAGCTTTTCAAAACGTATCAAAATACATATGACAGCTCTTTCCATTCTTAGGGCTATTGATTGTTGGCTTGAGGCTTGAGTTGGAGAGTGAGCTTAGTTTCATAAAACTCTCCATGGTGAAGACTTTATCTCCATTTATTCTTCAGGGTAAAGAATTACAGCTCTAGGCATTTTAATAGAATGTTACTGCCAGCAGTTCATTCACAATCGTACAAATTTACCGAGGCCTTAATCGCAGCATAATCTACTGTAGACTGAACTTGTAGAAATAGCTGCACCATTAACCACAGTTCCACCATTATCTCATTGAATTCACTGTGGCAATTTGTCTGATCCTATTCCTGTGAAGGATCTTGCTTGGTCAGTTTCATGTGCCTATTGACATAATTTTAAACTACCAGCATCAGAGAGGAATTAACATGGGCGTGGGAAAGGATGGTCCATGTGTGATGGAGGCTGGGGTACGAGGACTGGGGTATGATTTTAAAAAAAAACTTTGTTGCATCTATCTGCTGTTGCCTTTGAGTTAAGAAAAGAATGGTACTAAAAAATATTCCATTATTTTCCCTCTTTCTCCTTTTCCCATTCCACACAGTTTTTGCCTTAGTAAGTCAACCTGGTACATTGTTTGTGTAGATAGCATTCTAACAGTCTGGGACAGTTTTTTTTTATATATACTAAATGTATTGCACTTTGTAGTTAAAGAAACTCCAAAGTCAACTGAAATCAGGTTCTTGATGTACCTACGGTATAACCACTGTGGCACCTGAACAAAGGAAACCAGTATCTTGTGTTCCGTCTGGTTTGTTCAGAAAACAGTTACAGTATATTTATTTCCAAGCAGATTTCTGTCCCAGAATGAACTGTTGTCTGAGGCTAATGACAATCATTGGAACTTGCTGCTTTTTTAACAAAAAAAATCAGTGCTGTTTAGTTGCACAACTGCATAAATATGAATTAGAAATATGAAGTTTGCTTTTGGTACAATTCCCACTGTGGTTATGTAAATCTTTTTAATTCTACACCTTGGGTATAACTCCAGTACTGCCTTGTCTAAAGTGGTGTATAACCAGTTACAGTGACTGGTAGATGATCATTACCTGCTGATAAGTGTATATGTTAAGCTTGAACGAGTATGTGCACTTTATCCCGAGTTTAATTCATCAAGACTTAAAACAAAACTTTTAACAGCAGTATTCAATCTAACTTTGTTATAAAAATATCATGTTTTACAGATTTCTCAAATAATTTCACTTTCTCTTGTTTGACTGTTTTTTAACAGAAGGTATGAACTTCGTTCCCGAAGGAAGCACAAGCGGGAAAAGGAGGATGAAGGGTTAGTAATGAATCGTTAAAATGAATCCTCAGTACTGCAGATTGTTTTAGAGCAAGGGAGTCCTGCTATTTTGCCATGTTCAGTATCGAAGACCTGACTACAAGTCAATTTTCCTGATACTGACTAGATCTGTGGCTGCAAAGATTGCTAATCTTTCAGCAACTTGACCAAGTAATCATTCGTGTGTGAGCATAAATAGTTATTAGCAGGATATTCAACCATAGTGCATTCCACCTGAGCCTGGTTCTGTTCTCACCTGATGCCCACACATGCACTAGGATTACTGACCTGCTTGCTATATGGAATATGGAACAGTTTTATGTATCATTCTGTAGCTCAAGGGGTTTCTAGTGCTGTTACTGCTGCCACTGAGTTCAGATAACTCAACAAAGCCTTGGATTTGAGCCTGAGACATTCTGATCTGTGTTTAAACAAAGCAAACAAAAAAAGTAATAATTACAAACTTTTCAGCAAGGGAGAACAAAGAAAACAAGGCGAAATCTGATTGCTTCCTAGGCAATAAGAAAGTACAGAAAGTAGAAATCAAAAGGCGAAGCAACAGCAAGTTAGTTAGCCTTTCTGTTATTATTGCTGTTACTCTTATCTGTTTGATCTGATGTTTATTCATGGTATTAATTATTATTGATATAAATTGTTAAAATGAATGTGAGACGTACCTATCGTTGTAATGGGTCAAGTGATATTTTTACTAATTTGATACAGGGGTAAATATCAAAGGAAACAGCATGAAGGAGCTGCATTGGTGTCCGTGCAGATTAACATTTTCTTTAATGTTATTTGTAATTTGAATTTTGTATGTTTTAGCTCCTACACTGCCCATTATTGTTGCTGCTGGTTCATCTGTAATTCCTCTATATAGTACTGCTGGTATCTGCTGTTACAAATTCAAATTAATAGTAATAACACATAACGGAACCATGTGATATTAAATGGATGGTCATGAAAAGCAAAGAAACTTCCATAATCAACCACACTGTGATCTTCAACTAATCCTAAAGCATTCAAAGGCGAGGTACTTTACATTTGTAAGTATGTTATAATAATAATTCTTGCATTTGATATAGCAACTTATTAAGTCTTCGAGACATCTCAAAGCGCTTCACAGAATATACTGGAAAGTGTATATTTTGTGAGAGAAACACAGCAGCCGATTGCACACAGCAGTGTCCCACAAAAAATCGATAACAACCGGGGTTCCTACTTACTGCTAGGTAAACAGAGTAAGGAAACTTGCCCAACATTTCGCCCCGCCCAGGAATCGAACGCAGGTGCTCTAACCACTGAGCTACAGGATTCCATGAGAATTTCCTGCCCTTAAAATACATGTGGTTCTTTGTAGCTGACTTTTAAGGAGTAATAATGGTATATGATACCCTCAGGTCCTGCTGAAGTAATTATTCTTTCTTTTTAGTGCTCCTGCTCGGAAGAAACGCCTAACTGAGAAGATGCTGAATTGTCGTGTGGAGCCAGTAAATGTTTTGCGTAACTCTTGGCCACATCCTCCCTGCTGCCAGGAAAGTGGACTCAATGCCAACTCCTGGCAGGTTCGACATACCCCACAGGAGCCGAGAGTAATTGAGAAGGAATCTGTAAGCATGGAAGTGAAGATAGACACAAAGCAAGAGGAGCTTGATGGACTCCAGAAGCTGCGGGAGATTGAAGATAGGCAAGTAATCCTGTCAACTCAATCTTAACATTTCTGTGTTTATTATACACCAGTGACTCAAATATGGTATGTGACGGGAGCCCAAATCTATATTGTCAATTGGTGGATAGATGTGTCAGCTTTGTTGCCTTGCAAAAAAGTCAATGATATAAACTCCCGATAATTACAATGAGATAACATTTCACTTTTCAGAACAGGGTTTGATAACTGGTCTGCTGAATCACTAAACCTGTTTTGTGCTCCAGGCTCACTGGGGAGGATGATCCAGACGTTGATGGCAATGAGATTTCAGAGACGCCCATCCTGGTCTTGTCCGACTCCCTGCGGGAAGAATTGAATCGTGGCCTGGAAGAAGTTTTACCTCGGAAAATCATCGAATCCCTGTAAGTGTGTGCTGCATCGTGATATTTCATGCTCAAACGATCTGGGATGCTATCCTGCGTGAGGGGTGCTATATAAATGCAAGTTGTTGTTAGATTAGTTGGAAGTTTGCACTTAAACAGCATTAGAAATCTATTTGTTGTCTTTATCATAGCATTCATGTGAAGATAACCATTGCCCCGACCTGGCAGATAACATCCTACCTTCTGGTTTTGTTCAGTCTCCCCTCCTGCTATTCAGTGCTTTGCTGTTATAACTAGAGAGAGCCTGTTTCGCTACCTGCATGTTATGGATCTTTTACAATGTCTGTTTTTAGTTATTGCATAACTTTCTGACTCTGAAGCCTACTTCAATATCACTGAAAGGGACTTCAGAAAGGACTTTACTAATAGGTCAATAACATGAGGAAGTTTCCTTACTCCACACTCCTAATAATAATCTCTCCAAAAAACAAAACAATAATAAATTGGTCATTTTCAATCCACGACTGTTTGTGGGACACTGCTGTGTGCAATTAACTGCCCTGTTTCGCCTGAAAATATACGGTCGATTCACTTTACAGCATATTCTGTGAAGCGCTTTGAGTCGTCTAGAAGATGTGAAAAGCGCTAGATCAAATGCAAGGATTATTCTTATTCCCATCTTCGAAGTGCTATCTTTGCTTTTCTTTCACTTATATTTTGTGTTCTGTGTTGGTGTGTGTGTATATATATATATATATATGTGTATACACACAATAAAATTACGTTTGAATAGCAACTTTCTCGTCGGGAGGACATCCCAAGGCGCTGGACAAGTCAGTGTTTTGGACCCGAGCAGGGGGTTTAGGGACAGGGGGGGGGTTAGGGTAGGGGGGAAGGAGGGTGATCGAAGGCACAGTCAAAGAGGAGGGTCTTGAGATGAGTCTTGAAGGAGACAAGGGAGGGGGCAAGGCAGAGGGACTGCAGGATGAAGTTCCAGAGGGTGGTGACAGGATGGCTAAAGGCTCGCACGCCAATGGTGGGGCGAGGCGGGGGATGTGAAGCAGGTCGGAGCCTGCTGAGCAGAGGGAACGGGCAGGTTGGTAGGATGTTAGGAGGTTGCAGAGGTAGAGGGGAACGAGGGCTTTGAAGGTGAGGATCAGGATCTTGAACTGTATCCTCTGTGATATAGTATTTTAACGTTTGCAATTTATTAATTAAACTAATATAATTGGAACACGTTCAGTTTGTGAGAGATTATTGAAATTTTCACCTGAAATGAAACCTGGTTTGATACTGTCTATTCGGGGCCAGTTTGGCTTGTCGCTTGAACCTGTGGGAAAAGAGCACACGCCACATGATCTCAAGAAGAGTGACCTTGATAGCTAAGAATGGTAGCTCTCATTGAAAGTAAGCAGGATGCGGAGGTTATTCAATAAGCTAAAAACAGACAATATATAAATTGTTTGGACAGTCTCAGCACCTGGATGCATGTAAATTCACAGTGTGAATTAGTCTGAATTCAAAATCTCAGATCAGGAAATATTGCACTTTGTGTTGTAGGGGTGGTTTTTATGAAGCACATTATTGAGTTAGAATAAAGGGAACTTCACTACTGCAATTGATCTGGGAGTGAATAATGGGAATATTAGGTTGGAAAAGTGTGTATGGCTGTGTTTTAAACCTTAAGTGAACGGAATTCATGTTGATTCTGCTGTTTCCTTTCTTTTGTACCTTGTTAGCAATCGCCCGTGTATGGAGCTGGTTCTGTGGAAACCGCGAGATGAGCATTTTTCAGAGAAGCTGGAAACGGAGCGGAAAAAACAGAGGCATGTTCAGTGTGATCCTAGTTTGTACAGGACGAGCACAAGACTGGATTCACCCTTGATGTCCAGCAATCTGAATCTCAGCAACACACCCGAAGAAGACATGGAGCTTTAGAAAGTCCTTCCAGTGCAGCTTTGTGGAGGAAAAAGCAACTTTGCTTCTCGGAAGAGTGTCAAACCTGTGTTTTGACTTTTCTGTTAAAACAACATTTTGGAATTCCTGTCCGTGTTCATGCTTAAGTCAAATTACTGTTTTAGTGGCATAGCTTTTTGGGGGTTTGTTTTTGGTCCGTCCTGTTGTAGGAAATGTTGCAGTCAGTTACAGTCTGTTCTGGACGAGCCACATAGCCTATCCAGTCACTGCTTTTTTTGCAAAACATACCTTTTCTAAGCAATTTGTATGAAGGTGGGAGCATTGGAGAGTTTTGTAATCTGTGCATGGGATGGTATAATAACAACAGCACATTACATTTATATGCGCCTTTCACGTCGGAAGGACATCCCGAGGCGCTGACATTCAAACTACACCCAGGTATGGTTTGATGGTTTGGATGCTTTACTGATGTTGGATAAAAACATTTTGCCAGGTAATGAACACAAGATGCAGAATTGGTTTCTCATGCTGAGAAAATTGTTTTTTTAAAAAAAGGTTTTCACACAAAAATGAGTAAAATAGAAGTGAAAAGGTAAACATCTGCATCCATAAGCATAATCTTAACCTGATTACAATATATACGTTATTTACATCATTTCTGGTCCTTGAAAGCCAGAATAGTTATGTTTGTCAACGGTGGTGAGTAGAGGAATCTGAATGTTACTGAAGACAACAACAACTTGCATTGATATAACACCCCTCATGCAGGGTAGTGTCCCAGAGTGCCCTGTGAATTGCTCCTTGAACACAGAAAAACAATCTTGATGGGGATGTATGTGAGTTCAGACTGGAGCAGTTTGCTAATGGTCCAAATGGGGCCTTGGTTTACTATATATTGTCAGATAAATGGGACACTTTGCTTTTTTAGTTCCTATTGCTATACTTGTTTTTGGTTAGTCGGGTGTCTGATACAAGGTGTCTTGATGGCCGATCAACAAGATTGATTTTTAAAAGTGTGTATGGGTAACGAATTTGCTCCATGTCAAGAGGAAGTCCAATTAAACTAACCTGACAACTTGATACCCCCAGTTTTCAGTAAAATTTGTTTTGTTTTTATCCCAGAAGAAAAGAGGACATATTGTTAACAAGTAAGTTTTTTTTTGTTGTTTTGGAAAAAAAAACCTGAACTACAAATAAGAAATCTATCCCTTCTTCTCTTCCGCTCCCCACTGAAGTTGACTCCCATCTACCTTGATGTGGCTGTTCTTTTCATAAGGGAGAAATTACCCCCTCCCCTTCCAGCCCACCCCCACATCCCGGTGAATTCAGTGAAAATCTATATTGATTTTGGAACATCGCAAAAACTCAAAACAAGCCAGATACTAACAAAAGTTGTTTACTGATCACAATTTGGAAAACTGACACACAATGTGATGTGCACGTATTCCTGAAAACCAGTGCGTGCACTGAAAAAACCTCAGAACTAACCAGACATTCAGGACAAAAATTTTACCAGTTGACTTACACCAAAAAAGACATTTAAGGCTAAGATCATTTTTAAGAACAAAGAATTTGATGGCCCTTAAAGGTAGAAGGGTCTTGCAGGTTAAAGTCCGGGTGGAATTTTGTTTCTCTGTTCTTGAGTCTTGAGGATTCCTGTGCTGCATGGATTTCAGAAATGTCGTGTCATTAACTTCTTAGTTGTGCTGTACTAGAGTACATGTTACTGTTATAACAGTGAATGTAATGGGGGAATGCAACACTTGTGAAGTACAAATGGGGGGGAAATTTATCGATGCAGTCAATTTTCTGTCTTTTATGGACAGTTAATGCAATTGCACGTTAAAATTGTCACTGCTATTATCAAGGTAAGCGGCGGGGAATCATCCAGATCTGGGAAATTTTTATTAAGCTAGCGATAATGCAGTTGCTCCCTTGGAGTTTTCAAATAAAGCGGTACAATTTGTATTTTGCATAAATCATTGACGTGTGCAAGTTCTTTTGCCCACAAAATAGTCATTTCACTTTACAGTATAATAATACTTGCATTTAATATAGCGCCTTATATTGTTGAGCTGTCTTAAAGCGCTTCACTGAATATATTGTAAAGTGTATTTTTTGGACAATACTATGAAGGTGTTGAGTTGGGGTGGGGGGTAAATTATTTAATGTATGGGAGAGGGGTGTAGAGGGGAGAGAATAACTGACACTTTAAATAAACATTAAAACACAATCTATATAAATGTATATTCAAAACAGGTAATGTTTTAAGAAAATAATGGCTGCATTCTTACCTCAAGTATACATATAGACGCCGTAGCTATTACATGGCTTTGACTACTTGCACAGTATTAGCTGGATGTATCCCACAGTTGGGCATTACCTGAAGAATTCATTCCAAGGAATGTTAGTGGCCCAGTTGGCACAGTAACTTGTGATTAAGGTTTCAGATTAAATGCAGCCTTGCTCTGCAAACTGGGTCAGGAGCAATTAAACTCTCTTGATCTTTAGGGTACACTGCACAACTTCACTGCTGTGTTCCAACGCTGCCTCACACTGCAGGCCGCGAATCCCTCATACCACGCCTTCATTACATCGAGGCTCGACCATGCAAACTCACTGCTTTGTCGGCCTCCCCAACTCCTCCCTCCACAGGCTGCAGATCATCCAGAACTCTGCACCCGTGTCCTCTCCCACACTGGGATCCGCGACCCTATCACCCTGATCCTTGCCCAACTCCACTGGCTTCCCATCCATCACACAGAAGATACAGTTCAAGATCCTGGTCCTCACCTTCAAAGCCCTCCATGGTCTTGCTCTCCCTATCTCTCCGACCTCCTAAGCCCCTACCATCCTGTTCACTCCCTCCGCTCAGCGGACTCCGGCCTGCTTCACATCCCCATCTTGCTCGCCCCACTATCAGTGGGCGGGCCTTCCGCAGCTTTGCACCCACCCTCTGGAACTCCATCCTGCAGTCCCTCTGTCTCGCTCCTCCTTCGCCACCTTCAAGACCCGCCTCAAGACCCTTCTTTTCGACCGTGATTTGATTCTCCCCCTGCCCTCCCCTTTCCCCCACCCCGACCCTCAGCTTGGGTCTGTAACTCTGTCTGTCCAGCGCCTTGGGATGTCCTCCCAACGTGAAAGGCTATACAAGTGTAATATTGTTGTTATTGTTGCATGTGTAATATTGTTGTTATTGTTGCATGCAACCTTGGATTCTTTTCTGGCTTAAATGTTTCTTTTGTAGTCAGCATTTCCTCTGAAAGGGATGCTGGATATGGTGGGTCTCACAATTGTCTTGGCGAAATTGCTCGTCAGTGAGGAACGTGAGAGGTCTGCAACATTGCTGCAGCCAATGTAAAGTGAGGTACTGTGCACTTCTCTGCTCTGCTGAAAATTGAAGTTTAAATTCTATTCCCTGAAGAGAATCAATACACGTTCCCTGACACACAGGTCAAATACTAGGGAATGATGTGTTCTGTGCAGGAACCCAGAAATAAGATGCACCACAAATTATTTTTTAAAAAATGAAGTCAGATTAGTGCTGTGTCCTCTGACTTACAGTGATATTTGGTCAGCCCTCAGCTAAGCTTGGAACTGAAAAAACGGCTTGGATCAGCCTCGTCCCTTTCCTGAAGCTGAAAATGTCTCGATGTCTCCTCCTGGCTGGAGGGTGCATGGGGCTGGGCAGATATTGAAGGAAGAACAAGAAAAATGGTTATTAAAAGGGCCATATCGGCATTGACACGAAATGCATTGCATTAGTAATTAATTAATGCAAAATTTGACCCATTAAGCAGACACACACTGAAGGACATTTGTTCTTTTTTCCCCTCCCTTTTATACAAACATTCAACTACAGCATTACATTGCTCTTTTTCACAATAGAGATGATGCTGCTGTTCGTTCTGATGCTCAGGGATATTCAAGCTCCAGCTGTATGATGTCCAGTGTGTGACAATGCTGCTGACTCATATCTAGCTTGATTCGAGAAAGTTTGGTCCTGGTTTGCAATGGATGGATCGTGTCTGAACTCTTCACAGTATTATCACTGTCATCCTGCTCAGAGTTGTTGAAATTCCCTCTCTCTGCATTCTCCTTCAAATGGGTTTACAAAGGTTCACTTTGTGCTCCATTTCTCCGGGAATCGCAAAAACGATCTTTCTGGCGTTATTTGATTCTGAAGAATGAGGGAAACAAGCAAAAAGATTTTGACTAAAACCAATTGTAATACCCCCACCCCGCAAGAAAAATATATATACCATGGTGTTCTGGGGAGTTTGAGCCACTCTCGCTGAAACACCATTTGAAAATTTGTACTTTAGCCAATGTACTGATAGTCTGGACAGGTGAAGGATGGGCTTTGCTCCTGCAGGATGTTTGTGTGTGTCACTTGTCTCAGTGAAGTGTCTAGTTGCATATTTCACAAGATTGATTTGTATGAAGACCCGTCAGATCTCATCCTTCAATAGCCATCCTACTGTCTTTCCATCACAGCATCAAGCCTCAACCACCCTTCCTGGCAACCTATGACAATCCTTAATTACCTTCTGGGTAAAGAAATACTTCCTGGTGCCTGTCCTGAAATTGCTCTTTGAAACTCTAAACCTATATCTTCTTGTCCTACTATTTTGGTGCATCCTAAAGTATTGTTCTGGGTTTCCTTTGTCAAACCCATTTAAAAATGTCCGCAGATAATAATAACAATCCTTGCATTTGATATAGCGCCTTATCATGTCTTCGAGACTTCTCAAACCTTCACAGAATATACTGTAAAGTGAATTGACTGTATATTTTGTGGGCGAAACGCGGCAGCCAAATTGCGGACAGCAGCGTCCCACAAACAGTCATGGATTAAATGACCAATTTATCATTATTATTTTTGAAGGAATTATTACCAGCGGAAAAGCGATCCGTCAATCAACTAACAACCGGGTTCCTACTTACTGCTCGGTAAACAGGCATGTGGAATAAGGAAACTTGCTCAACATTTCGCCCTGCCCGGGATCGAACCCAGGTTTCTCACTTGCGAGGTGAGTGCTCTTAACCACTGAGTTACAGGACTCCACTACACTGGTGATGATAGTGCTCCACTCACCCTTTTTCTGTATGAACTGCCTGTCTCAGGTCGCAACGTGCTCACGTCCTGCAGGCTTGTGCTGTGATAGATGGCGTTCTCTGCTCGGAGCTGCTTCACTCGGCTCTGTAAATGGCGGAGCAACTTCAGTGACCCGAAGTCCTGCTGCCTGAATGAGGACTCGGCTGGGAATCCCATCGATGGGGTAGAGGCAGATCGCAAATGAGACACATCCCCATGTTCCTACGGAGAAGACAGCACAGTGACAATCAATGTCACGGTATCGGAGTGTGCACGCGTACCTATAGATCTATAGGTAATAATAATTTGATCACATCTTCGAGATGTCTCAAAGCACTTCATAGGATACACTGTAAAGTGAATTGACTGTATATTTTGTAGGCAAAACGCGACAGCCAATTGCGCACAGCAGCGTCCCACAAACAGTCGTGGATTGAAGTGACCAAATTATTATTATTACCCCCAGTTGTTAGTAGATTGGATCTGCCAATCGACTAACAATGGGTTCCTACGTACTTCTGGGTAAACACAGGCGTGTGGAGTAAGGAAACTTGCCCAACGTTTCGCCCTGCCCAGGAATCGAACCCGGGTCCGCTCGCTTGCGAGGGGACTTCTCTAACCACTAAGCTACAGGACTCCTGTTCGTTCATTCATTTACGTTGACCCAGACCAAGTTGCCCTCCAGGTGGATGCATTGGATGAAAAAGCACATTTGAGCAAAATGGGTAAATTACCAGGGTCAGTCGTCGTATTTCATTCTCCAGCTTTTCGATCTTCCTTTGATGCTCAGCTCTGTGCTTCGAGAGTCGCCTGTGAAGTGAAACAGCCCAAGCCGCATTTAGTCAGTTCAGCCTCTTATCTCTTGTTTTGGAAGATTTCTCTCACTCCCCTTGAAATATTTAATTTCCCTTTTCTCTCCAGCTTGACCAGCTATTTGCTGTGTGTAGGAACTGCAATGATTTTGGTCAATCTCCAATCTCTCGGCCTGGAAAACACCCAAGTCTCTGGCTGCCTAGTGTGTAACAGCAGCTTTGGGTCACTTGACTTTTGATTGCCCCGTCTTCCTTGTGGAGGAGCAATTAGGATCTAGCCATTGCTTTGCTCCTGTGGAGACCTGGAGATGCAATCCCACTCCTTCCATCTCCATGGCATGTCACACTATCATCATCAGTTAGCTATTTAGCCCCTGAGTGATCCATGGTCACACAACATTCCAGCTGTTCTTTTACAAGTGAGAAATACCTTCCTAACACAAGAACATCGACATGCAATGCTTCCAAACCTCTATATTACCTGTACAGCATTACGTGCCATCCTCAGACCATGTTAGTGTGTTGAAACGAGTAAGCAGCTAGTCGTTTAGCACCTCCTACATACCTACACTGTTAGCTTGGAGATGTTAAAGAGGAAGGCAGGGAAAGTAGTGGGGTTCACAGTGTAAAAATCAGATCAACCACAGAAACCGTGCTGGTGAAAAGCATGAAACATCCAGTAGTTGAGGTTTAGTTCAAAGGAAACAAGGCAGATTTTAGGACCTGATTTATCTACTAAACGTCAGCGGAGTCGGGAGGCATTATATTGATTCCCCAAAGCTTAGGCAGACTTTGAGGTCTGGCTTGTTCTCACAAGACAAGGAATTTAGTCGGATGTAGCTTTACTTTGTGACTGACAAGATGAATTCTTGATCAAGACTAAGGTTTTTGAGTTAGATGTTGATAGGAGGTCCTGAGGGAGATGACAAAGAGGTTCAAATTGATCTGAGCAGCTTTTGAGCAGCTGTCCACACAACAGCTTGGGCGGAGGGCAGAGTGATGTTTTACACGCAAATGGTCATATATAAAATTATATATATGTACATATTTATGTATACATAACATATATTAAAAAATGTAAATCTATTATATTTTATTATGTATAAATTATATATACATAATTTATACATATAATAAAATATAATTTTGTATATACAAAATATAAAAATAATATATACATTATACATTATTTTATATTATATATACACAATGCAACTATAAATTAATTTTAAATTTTTTTAAAATTATTAAACCAATTTAATGATTTAAAATATTAAATCTAATAATTTGAAACCTTAAAAGATAAAAATTATCAATCTACAGCGAAAGGAGTCGGGATGTCTTTAACTTCAAAAACTCGTGACTGAGTAAATGGTAAATGTGTGAAGCAAACTATGCAATGTGGCTTTTCAAAAGCTCTCTGTGAACGAAGAGTCTGATTTTTACAGGTTTTTTGGGGGGAATGAGAAAAGGTCAAAGAGACTAAAGCCAATTTGACTGGATTCCGCACTAACACTACACAGCTTCCCACCTCAGAGACCCAGTTACCTTTGTTTCAATAACTCGGACTTCCATCTGCGAAAAACAAAGTCAGGGGAAAACATTCAACAAGCAGAACTGCAAGTGAACTTGATCCAAAACACAGACCCCAAATGACATGAAAGAAGCTGCATGTGTAATGGGGCCTCAGCACACTGACTCGTTTCCAAGTGCTTCACGGGACATTGTGGTCAAGTGGGTCAACCTTAGCCGGATAAAGTGAAAGGAAACGGGAAGTGGAAACGAGAGAGATACAGAAGAGATGGGGAAGAAAAAAAAGGGGGAAAGAGAGAGAGAGAGAGAGAGAGAGAGAGAAGGGGGAAGCAATAGACGAGAGAGAAAATAAAAGAAAAAGGTAGAGAAATGGGCGTCACTCACTTCTCCAGCTCTGCGGTCAGTTCCTCCTCAAACTTGCAGGCGAGCTTGCTGGCCGTTTCGTCCTTCCACTTGGTCATGTTCCGCTGGATGGCTCGCAGCTCGTTGTCCTTCTCCCGAAGCTGCTGGCGAAGCAAGGGCTCCTGGCTGCCTCCCGAGTCCTTGTGCTGTGACCTCTGCAGATCGCTGATCTCCTTAATGTGCTCCTGCAACGGACAATCATTGCAGGGACCATTACGCAACTGGCCGAGGAACCGTGAAGCTGGAGCAGGGAGGAGAGAGGCTGGAGAAGGGTGGAGTGGTCAACTGTGTCGAAGGCGGCAGGAAGCTCAAGGACAGCGAGGAGTTACAGAGAGCCCTGGTTGGTCAGAGATGGAGAGAATCGCAACCTTCACCAAGGTGGAGCTGAGCGAGGACAGGGATGATGAGCTCATGGGGTCTTGTGCAGTAGAGAACGGCAAGTTACAGTAAAATCCTGTGAAGTGCTTTGAGGTGTCTTGAAATGCAATAAGTCACTAATTCAAATGCAACTATTATTATTACATTATAATTAATGTCCAGAATCCATCCTGAAAGCCTAATCCATGAATTCATCACGTCCAGGCTTGACTTCGCCAACACTCAGCTCACCAAACTACCCGACTCTTCCCTACACAAGCTGCACATTATCCAGATCTCTGCAGCCCGTGTCCTTTCCCACACTAGGCTCCGCAGGCTAGCACCCCCCATCCCTACCCAGCACCATTATCCCCCTATCTCCCAGCGGATCGAGTTCACGATCCTCATCCTCACTTGCAGATATCTCCACGGTTTTGCCCCGTCCTACTTCTATGATCTCCTCAAACCGTACTGACCCAGTCTGTCGCTTTGCTTAGGTGGCACCACCCTGCTTCATGTCCCCTGACCCACCATCGGCAGTCGGGCTTTCAGCCTATCCACCCACAATATCCTGAAACCCCTCCCTCCCTAACCTCTTTCAAGGACAAACCTTGCTCTTTGACCACACTTTTGGTCACCTTTCCTCTCCCCAGGCCCTGGGCTTCCACCCTCGGCTCAGGTACAAAGCCAAGACAGTCAAGTGCCTTGGAACTTCTTCCCTATGTGAAATCGCACTGTATAAATGCAAATTTCTATTTGAGTCTCAGAATCCAGTAAGAGCACAGTAAGAGATCGATTACCTGGATGAGTCTGTCCTTGAGGGAGGCCACAGCCTCTTCTTTAGCCAGGCTCAGCTGCTCCTGCTGTTGTTTTAACTCTCGTTCCTACGGATCAAAAGAAAATAGGGCCATAGGAATTGCTAGATGGAAAAAAATCCAGATCCTTTTAGTTCGCCTTCTACCATCCTGATAGTTACATGCTACAATAATGGAAATGCTGATAGCAATTAATTCTGTATGGATTAATCTACAACAACTTTGGGAACCTTAGACCCAAATTCTTCCTAGTTCTTCCAAGCCATACTACACTTACTTATACGTCATGTCTCAAATTACTCATATACTGTATCCCAAATATTATTTTCTAAAATAAATCTATTTAGTTTGCATTTGAATGAATCAGAAACAACACAGAGGGACTAGCAATGAAGAGAAGAGTTGACTATCTTAACCATCTCTTCCAGATAGTTGTGGGATCAAGCGTTCATTGAGATTTTGAGCTCACAGTCTAAGCTGATGCTCTAACGCAGTGCTGCATTGTCATAGGTGACATCCTTCGGATGTGACGTTGAACCAAGGTCATATTGGCCTGTTCAAGTAGACGTTAAAGATCCCATTGCACTATTGAAAGAGAGAAGGGAGTTTCTTCCAATGTCCTGGCCAACAATCCCCCAAATATAATACTGATGATTTACTTCATGGCTCTTTGAGGGACATTGCTGTGTGCAAATTGGCTGCAGCGTTCCACTTGAAATACATTTTAGAGAAAACTCTGAAGCTCTTCGAAATGTTTTCCACACAAGAAATTATATTCAATCAAGGATTATTATTATGCCTTCAAAAATAGACTTTAAAATCAATTTTCTTGGTAGTACAGAACGGGGATCAAAGTTGCAACCATTCTGGTATATATCACTCATTACAACATGATGGGGTGCATTTACTCAATGAGACATCTAGGACCATCTTCAGTGTCTGACATACAATACAAAAATATATTTGTAAAGTGCCTTTCACGTTTGGAGGATGACTCAAGGCGCTGAACAGTCAGGGATTAGGACCCGAGCTGTGGGGGTGTGGTGGGATTGGGATCAGGGAGGGTGGATGGCAGGGAGGGTAGCCGAAGGCACGGTCGAAGAGGAGGGCCTTGAGGTGTGCCTTGAAGGAGGCGAGGGAGGGAGAGAGCGAGGCGAAGGGAAGGTGGGATGGGGGTCCAGACATGCACTTTACGGAATCTCTAAGATAGATTCTTGGAGGATAAAACAAACTGGTGGCACGATACGGAGGTCAGTAAATATTCCTTCACCAGTCATGCAACCAGACCTGATTGTACTATTTTGAGCAGTTTGCTTATAAAAGTTGACTCACTCTCCCACTGTTTGCTATTGCTTGCTTGCACCTGCTGTTTCAGTAACTTGACTCCGATACATTGGTGTCATTACAAGGAATATAACACATTCAAGAATTACCCCTCGACAATTCTTGCCGACTGAGTCTAGCTCAGTTTGAAGGCTGCTTAAGAGTTAGACTCGAGTGTGCAAATCTTTGCTTAAAAATCCACCACTTGTCGATGAGCCTCCCGTGCGCTCTGACACAATGTGATGTTAATGGGGCCGCACTGTACCTTCTCCCTCATCAGGTGATGCACCATGCGTCGCTGGCTCTCCAGCTCCTGGTGGACATCCAGTGAATGCTGGTGCAGTTCCTCAGTGACCCCGTGCAGTGTGCGAACAGCTTGTCCCAACGTCATCGTTGTCGGACTCCTGTAAATTAGCAACAAACACACCTGCATTTAACACTCTCCACAGACAGCGTCTTTAGACAGGCTGGTGGTGACAGCACAGGACAAGACCTGGAACGGCAGACAAGTCACTGGGGCAGGGAATCATCCCACTTAGCTCCTGCCAACCCTGCAAACCAAAGCCTTGACTGGTAGGGTGGTCCTAGCTGGACAAGCAGCGGGAAAGCTTGCCAGACAGCTCTCTCTCAATGGCACGCTGTGCGGAGTTAGCTGGTTAGATTCCAGCAGTCACCCCAACGCACACTCTGGGGTTCCTAAACCTAATACTCTCCGGAATTAGGTAAGCAGGACCCGTCCCTCCAGGGAGAGAGTGCGCATTCCATTCCAACAATCTAACTCTGGAACTGCCATATGTAGGTGGGATGCACGGAGTTCTCAGTTTGGTTTGAGGACTCTTAAGCAACGGTGATGGGTTTCCGCTTGTGTTAGACTGTCCAAAAAAAGACAGGCTGTATGGTCTCACTTGACACATTAACAAAGCGATCAGCGGCGTTGCCTGCTGATAATTTGTCACCCGAAAGCTTCGAATGAGAAGCAATCATTCATTCCATCGGATCTGCTCCTTCCAAGGACTCACAAAAATGTGTCCGACTGGGAACTCCAGCGCTCACTCTATATCCTTCTGCATAGATACTCTGTGAGCCCTAAAGATACTGCTGCAGAGTAGTCAACCATCCCCACAATTTAAGCATGAACTTCCTCTACCTCCCGTAACTCAGGATTAAGATTGTATCAACAAAACCGCTCCTCATAAGTCGAGTAAGCACTCTGAGACATGCTCCCGATGTGAACGGCGCATTATAAATGTAAATTGTATTGTCACTTCATCGAAGGTAAATAAGTGTTTGTTTTAACGTTATGTAACAAGAGCTGAAAACTGAAAATCATTAGCCAGTCCCAGGTTGACAGCTACTTCCCTCACACACATACACACTCACACACTGCATACACCACTGTGAAACACTGTTGGAGTATTTGCAGATGAGGACAGATGGACATTAATGGTTCGGTTTCCTCGTGGAGTTATGATGACTTACCCCAGTTTCCCTAGCGGGAGGCTCATGGCTCTCCCTTGGGTATCGTGGATCAGCCCTTTGATCCGTTCACACTCCGCGCTGATCTCAGACACGAATGATCGCTCTGCCCGCTCCGCCTGTGTCCGGCCGTCTCTCTCTTTCATCAATGCTTCGCTCCGCTCGCCCAGCAGCACCTGACGCTGCTCCTCCACCTGCTTCAGCTGCGATTGCAGTCTCTCAACATCCTGCTTCTTTTCCTACACTCACCAAGAGAATAAAAGGCTTCAAATAATAATAATAATAATCCTTGCATTTGATATAGCGCCTGATCACATCTTCGAGACGTCTCAAAGCGCTTCACAGGATACGCTGCAAAGTGAATGGACTGTGTATTTTGTGGGCGAAGCGCGGCAGCCAATTGCGCACAGCAGCGTCCCGCAATTGACGTGACCACATTATTATTTTTTAAAATGTATTTATTGTTTTGAAGGGGTTAATGATAATAACAAACCCTGAAATAGTGCCTCTCACGTCAGGAGGACGTCTCAAAGAGCTTCACAGGGTTTACTGTAAAGTGGAGCGATTGTATTTGGTGGGGGAAAGTGGCAACCAATTTGCACCTAGGAATGTCCCACAAACATTGCTGCAGAGCGAATGACCAATTTTACCTGGGATATTAATGGCCGGGACACTGGGAGAAACTCTCTTCTCATTTCAACTAGCTTCATGGGATCTTTAATGTCCACATTTAATGTCCCAGCGCCTTGGGGTGGCCTCCTGACGTGAAAGGCTCTATATAAATGTCATTTTGTTTCATATTGTGTAAACAAGCAGATAGGACTTTGGTTTAAGGATGGCACCTCTGAGCATGCACTGCAATCTTCCGACTCAGAAGCGAGTTGAGAGTAGATCTCAGAAAGACGGTGAAAATTCAGCCTATTCACCATGAGGCCCTAACCCATATCTCTATGGTACAGAACTCCAATAAACCTCTAGGCTACGGCTTTGACAACTGACCCACAACGAAGCTGAAGATATCGGGCTTTTTCTGAAAATAATCAAGAGAAAGATAAGTGGATATAATAATAATCCCACACATCCTGCCCCACGTTTCCAGGCCCTTTCCCACACATTCCTGCCTTTCCTGCTCCACGTTCCCAGTCCTTGTGATAATAATCCTTACATTTGATTTTAGCACCTTATCAAATCGCTGAGACGTCTCAAAGCGCTTTACAGAATATATTGTAAAGTGAATTGACTGTATATTTTGAGGGTGAAATGCGGTAGACAGTAGTGCACAGCGGTGTCCCACAAACAAACAGTCATGGATTGAGTGACCCACATTTTTTTTTGAGGGATTATTACCCCTGGAAAGCATCCTCTAATTGACTCACAACTGTATTCCTACTCACTGCTAGGTAACCAGAGGCGTGACGAGTAAAGAAAACTTCTCTAAGGTTTCTCCCTGGTCTGGAGTTGAACCCAGGTCCTCTCGCTTGCGAGACATGGCAACTTGGAAACAATACAATCGTTCCTTGCCCAGACACAGATCAGGGACTCATAATGTAAATGCCAGATGACTTCACGTCCAGCCAGTCCATGATACACAACATTAAAGTCTTAAGCTAGGAATTCAAAACCTTCCAAATTGGATCAGCTTGTTCTGAATCTCTATTTTTAAACTGAAGCCAGTACAGGAGCATTGGGTTATTAGGGCTCTGATGTCCTCACTGCACTTCAATCTTTCCCATCTACGGTGTATCAAAAGCTCACATCCTCCCCTACTCAGTGTCTGGCACAGTCTGTACAGCGCTCAGAGATATTACGCTATGCGAAGGGCACGATATAGTGTGTTGCAAGTTGTAAAGCATTTGTATGGTGCCCTTCACATCGTGCAATGTGTCAGCGCTTGTTTTGGTCAGAGCGCTCGCAAGCGAGAGGGCCCGGGGTCGATTCCTGGGTAGGGCGAAACATTAGGCAAGCTTCCTTACTCCACACATCTGTTTACCAAGCAGTAAGTAGGAACCCTGATTAATTGATTGGCGAATGTCTTTTCCGGGGGTAATAATCCCTTCCAAAATAATAAATAATAAATAATAATAATAATTTTGGTCACTTCAATCCACGAGTGCTTGCGGGACGCTGTTGTGCGTAATTGGCTTGCCGCGCTTCGCCCCCAAAATATACAGCCAATTCACAGGACAGTATATTCTGTGAAGCGCTTTGAAACGTTTCAATGACGTGATAAGGCGCTGGATCAAATGCAGGCTCGGTATTATTATTAAATGATTGATGTTGTACCTGAAAAGAATCAACAGCTGGTTTGGAGAGTGTGAGCAAAGTTGTAATGAGTGACAATGAGTGACTTTCGAATGCTCTGCGACGCTACCCTGGGTGAGGGGCGCAAGTTGTTGTTGCCTAGACTCTCTCTTGGTCCTACCAGTTCAATGTCCTCTCTGAACTGCCGGATCTCCTTCTGCTTCTCTTCTTCCAGCGTGGCTCTCAGGTCGCTGACAGCCTGTTGCCTCTCGCGGTGGAGGGAGCAATTCTGCACCTCCAGCTGCTGGATTCTCTGCCAACAGACACAGCGAAAGGTCTCAGTGCGAGAACTGTGCAGAATAACACCTCCTTTCGATATTTTCCTTTGTCGTGTCAGAAAGTGGTTCACACAATGAGTGACTTTGAAGTGCGGTGACTGGCATTATCCAGCAAACCCCCCAAATCTAACCTGTGCCAAGCAACATCTCGCAAACAACACTGAGCCAGTCAATATCCCGCCCTGTCTAAAGCGATCTGGGACGCTGCACTGCGTGAGGAGCGCTATATAAATTCAAGTTGTTGCTGTTGTTGTTCAATGTGTTTCTGTGAGTCGGAACAAGGGAGGGGTATCGATCAGGGCCTAAGTAGAATTCTTTGCCCCGCTTGGAAATAGTAGTAGTACCAAAGGATCTTTAACGTCCTTCTGAACTGGCTAACGGAACCTTGGATTACTAACTGATCCAAAGGACGGCACCTCCAGGCTGGCAAACGTTGAGAGATCCCATGTCACTGCTCGAAAAGAGAAGGGGGTTTCTTCTGCTGTCGTGGCCAACACTCCCCCAGATAAAATCATTCGCTCTATGGCTGTTCGTAGGCAACTGCTGTGAGCAACTGGGCTGCTGCATTCACCTAGGAAATACACGGTCTCTCCACTTGATAGTAAATCCGGTGAAGTGCTTTGTGACGTCCTCTCAGCCTGAATGGCGCTGTCAAAACTGCAAGGATTATTATTATTATTATTATTATAATCTGAGACACCTGCGCACAAAGGGACACCGTTTCCGTTTTGCTCAGGGACTGTTTTCTACGCTGACCTTCTGCAAGTCGCCAATCGTATTCTGTAACCCCAGCGAGCGACTCCGCTCTCCCTCCAGCTCCTCCTTCATCTCGCCGAGGACCTGTCTCTTCTCCTCGTCCAAAGACAAGCGCTGGCTCCGGAGCTGCTCCCGCTGAGCGGTTTCCCACTTACGCCGCTCCCTGCCGACAGCGTCCAGAACCTGCGGGAATCAGATACACCAGTCTGCAAATTGCACAGTCACTACACTTTACAGTGAATGCTGCAAATTGCTTTGAGAAGTCCTCCTGATGTGAAAAACGTATCTCGCTACTTCTTCAGCTGGGATCGCTCTACCCGTTAGGGCTTTGGCTTGCACGGTTAGCAGGAGCTGGGTGGGAGGACTGGTCTGCCCTCAAAGTCCTGCCAATGAACCAGGATGGCTGCGCTGTCATCAGCAGTGCCTTGGAATACTCCAGACCCAGCTGGCTCAGGAACCCGACTACCAATACCGCAACAGAGGGTGGGTTTGATTCCGACATTCTGTTGCCAAACACCTTGAAGCCAGTTCAGTTCCAAGGAGACCCTGCTTAACCCCACACCTCCCCCCAGGAGTATTTGCCTGATAAAGATACAGTTGCCCATTACCATCTCTTTCGCCTCCTGTTTCAGCTTCTCACTCAGTTCCGTCGTAGCCTCCTCCCGAGACCGGATCTGTTCCTTCAGCCTCAGTATCTCTTCGTCCTTGGCCTGAGTGAGAGACAGGAAAATTCAGCCAGTCCCAGATGGCACGTTCACTCCAGACTAACAGATCTGTTTTTTCATGTAGTCCACAGCCTGTCCCATTGTTGTGGGGTATCGTGGAGTCCTGTAACTCAGTGGTTAGAGCACGTGCCTCACAAGCAAGAGAGCTGGGATTAATTCCTGGCAGAGCGAAATGTTGGGCAAGTTTCCTTACTCCACACACACCCCTCTATTTACCTAGCAGTAAGTAGGAACCCGGTTGTTGGTCGATTGGCGGATTGCTTTTCCGTGGATAATAATCCCTCAAAAAAATAATAATAATAATTTGGTCACTCAATCCACGACTGCTTGTGGGACACTGCTGTGCGCAATTGGCTGCCGATTCACTTTACAGTATATTCTGTGAAGCGCTTTGAGACGTCTGGTACTTGTGAAAAGCCCAATATCAAATGCAAGGTTGACCATCACCGTTCTACCACCTCAAGGGCCTTTCTCTGGTTTGTCGTCAGCAGTGCCCTGGAGCACTGTGGAGTGGTTCTGAGCCTGGCTCAGGAGCCGCATTTCCAAGTCCGTTACAGAACGTTGACTTCATCTGTGTGACCAAACATGGGAGTGTTGAAATCTTAGCGTGCTCTGTTCACTCTGAATACACAGAATATGACATTTTCCTGACTGCGGGCTTCCCTTGTTAGATGACAGATGTACAATTTGTTACATCATGACATCCACCCAACCCAATCCATTTCCCGAGCGAATCAACTGATCTGATAATAAACCAAGCAAACCTCTAGCCTTTACAAGCAACACTTCCATTGTTGACCACCTCCATCTATCTCAGCAGAGGGAAGACCCACTGGCTCCTGTACAACAGCTACTTGCATTGAGATACAGTGCCCTCCAGAGCATCTGATTGTCAGTGGCTAACCTCCAGTTTCGACCTTAAAAACAGCCGCAGCTCAACCTGTGCTTTGTAGTTCCTCATCAGGCTACCGTTATATACAGCTTGTGGACTTGTGGAGCATCTCAGCAATGAGCCCTCAGTTCTGTCACCTCCTGACCACATCCAAAACCCTTTGCGATCTCTGGCAATCCACTTGCCTTCAAATAATGGGAGGGGTGAAAGCAGAGGGGAGCTCACACACAGAGGGAACTGGTGCAGAGAGGGCAAGGATCACATAGAGAATATTGGAGTGGGGAGGGGGAAATTCATAGAAAATAACAGTGATTGAGGTGGTGTGAGAGCGGCAGTCACATGTATAATACAGAGCTGGCCGGAGTCATATGGAGAAAAATGGACAGGAGCCCCTGACTCAGAGATGCTACCCCGAGTGAAGGGCGCTAGATAAATGCAAGTTGTTGCTGTTGTTGTAGCGTCAGCCCAGCGGTACCTGCTCCCTTTGTTTCTCTCCTGTGAGCTGTCGTTGAGATTCCCATCTGAGTGTCTCCATGACGGAGAGCTGTGGGTCCTTTTCCCCTCGGAGCGCTGTCAGGGGCTCTCTCAGTTTGAGCTGAGTTCGCGGACAGAATCCACTTGAGGGCCGACACCTTCTGGTCTCACTCCAGCCGCCGCGCCGAGAGCGTGTGAGGGCGCTGTGCCAGCGACTGGCTGGAGTGGCTGGCGTTAGCATCTGCTCGCTGGCAAATGGCACAGCAAGGAATAGTGTCGTTACTATGAGCTGTAGGCAAAGTGGGCAAAATCCACAGGAAGTGAAGACAGGGGTTCCCAGGAAGTGCGTGGGGGGGTCCCCAGGAAGTGAGGATGAGGCTTCCCAGGAAGTGACAGTGGGGGTTCCAGGAAGTGTCTCGGTGACTTTCTCTCGTCAGAAGGTGAGTCACAGAGACCAATCGAGTCCTTGGTTAAAGCCCAGATCTACAGTTGGCTAAAATCTGCCGGGTCAGGGTTTAGGGGGTGACAATTGGCCTCATTGGAAACCGACTCGGAAACCAACACACCTGCTTGTTACCCAGCCACCCTGGCATTGAGCAAGACCGGGATTGGGCTCTGAGGACATTTCATCAACCCATTTCTCACCCACGAAGCTGTCAATCACGCCAGGCTGCCCTACTGTTGGCTAGCGTGGGAAGCAACGCGCTTCCCTATTGATCCTTCTTCCCTCGCTCTCCCCCTTCCCCCCATCGTAGAAAGCTTCCATCGCCAATGCTTTGTCGCACTCGCCCCCCCCCTCTCCCCCACCCCCCACACACACACACACACACATGGTTGGCTGGAGTTATTCCACCCTCCCCATTCTGGCAGCATCTGTTTCCAGTCTCCTGACACAGGATAATCTTTGTACCTCCTGCAGTTCCTCGATCCTGCGTCCGGCACTTCCCCGCTTCGTGTATAATCCCTCCTGTGTGTTGTCCAGCTGCCTTCCCTGCTCCCGGCGCTCCGGGAAGGACAGACTCTCCTCCAGCTGCCCCAGACGCACTCTCAAGTCATCGCGCTCCAGGCTGAGGGCCGTGACCTGCACAGGAGAGGTGAGCAAAGAGATCAGTGTTCAATGCAAGGATTATTATTTCTATTAGTATTAAGATGACCAAAAGCACGGTCAAAGAGCTAAATCTCGAGGTGCGCTTTGAAAGTGGGGAGAAAGGGGGGAGCAACTTGGAGGGAATCCGGGATGGAGTTCTATGGAGTGGGGGGGCCGAGGGGCAATGGTGAATTGACTGCATAGTTTATGGGCGAAACGCGGCAGCCCATTGCGCACAGCAGCGTCCCACAAACAGTCAGTTGTGCATTGAGTGATCAAATTATTATTATTTTTTTAATTTATTTTTGTTTTTGTGAAGGGATTATTACCCCCGGAAAAGCGATCCTCCAATTGACGAAGAACTGGGTTCCTACTTACTGCTGGGTAAACAGGGGCGGGAGGAGGAAGGAAACTTACCCAAGGTTTCGCCCTGCCCGGGAATCGAACCCAGGTCCTCTTGCTTGCGAGGCGAATGCTCTAACCCTTAATCTGCAGGACGCCACAATTAACTCCTTACTTATGTGAGACATACAGGCCTCAGGCAGTCTGATTATCTATGCACCAATGCACTCTGTGCGTGCGCTGGTGAGAACTGGTGGGAAAGAACAGAAGGAGGAGTGATGGGGACAGCACAGTGAGACACACAGCGAGGTCCGGAGAAAGCGGAGGGAAAAGAGATGGGCTAACACCATGGAGAAGCCATGAAGCACGTAGCCAAACCCACATCGCTCTGCGTCCTCGCTGACCCGCTGCTCAGCCTCACACCGCCACGTTTCACTGGGCTCAGCTCATCTTCCAGATCCTGCAGCTCCCTCCGATAGCCGTCACGTCTAAACTCCAGCACCACCAGTTCTGTCCTGGGGCAGAGAGAGAGGAGATGGGCTCAGTCAGTCAGCACAGCTTCACACTGTTCCGATCAGTGCAACCACAGCAGCGATGTCAGTGATTTACTACTACCCCTCGCTTACATCAGCTCACTCAGCACTAACCTTCTGGGCTGCCCAGTATTCACTGCTGTCTGAGCGTGTCAAAGCCTTGGGATGTCCTCCTGACGTGAAAGGCGCTACATAAATAATAACAATACTTGCGTCCAATATAGCCCCTTATCAGGTCATGGAGACGTCTCAAAGTGCTTCACAAGATATAGTGTAAAGTGGAGAGACTGTGTATTTTTTGTGTAACCACAAACAGCCATGGAGTGAGTGACTACTTTTATTTTGGGGGAAATTGTTGGCCCAAACACCCTTCTCTCTTCGAACAGCACCGCGAGATCTTTGACATCCACCTGAACAGGCAGACGGAACCTCGGCTTAACATCTCATCCGAAGGACGGCACCTCTGACAATGCAACATCCACCCACCCCCCCCCCCCACCCCCAGCACTGCATTGGAGCATCATCTCAGATGATGTGATTCCAAGCCCCAACGTGGGGGGTGCTTGAACCCACAGCTTTCTGAGCCAGAGTGCTAACACCACTGGGCCAGGCTGACACACACGTATATTTGTATTGCGATTTGTTCTCAAACTAAGCTTTGGGCACAGAATTCTCGCCGGGTTGCGCTACCTGGCCTCATCCGTCTTGTTCTGTGTCTCCCGTAGACGTGACTCCAGCGCCCTCGTGTCCTGCTGCCCTCTCTCCAGGCTCTCCCTCAGAGCCTGCACCTCCTGCGCTGCGTGCTGCGGAGGGAACGGTCATTAGCTGGACGGAACTGAAGGGGGATTGTGGCCTGCGCGGGGTGGGGGGAGCGGAAGAGGAGGGAGGAAGGGGGGGAACGCACTTTTACACGGTGCTTATGTACTCACTCAGGCACATGTGAACCCATGTATATTTGTGTACACGCGCATGTACGTCAACCACACATGTGTATAGCTCAGCCACTATTAAGCGCTTTTAAACACTAAATAAATGCAACTTGTTACGGTTTTTACACATGTGCATATATACACCTATGCACACACGCCCACGCACAGACGTATAACACACACACACACAAACTCTGCGCTGTCAGGTCTGCGAGGATTCAGCAATGACAAGGAGGAAAGTCTCGTCTCACCCTTTTCTGCTGCAGAATCTCAGCCAGCGTGCGGTCAGCGTCTCGGAGCTGAGCTTTCCTGAAGGTGAATTTCTTCTCCTCCACACACATATCCTGAGGTTAGAACACAGGCATCGATCGGCAGCTGCACAGACACCCAGACACCCAGCCCGCTCCGGCCTCTTTCACCTCATGGAACTGAAGGGGATTGGGTGGTGCGATGTGGGGGGTTATCACAGTAGCTGGGGGGTGTGGGCTGGGGTGGGGAGGTAGTGTGGATTAATAGAGGGAGCGGGGAATGCACTCTCACACTGTACTTGTGTACATACTTGTGCGGAATGCTCTGGTTGAACATTATACACACACACACACACAACACGATGATAGTGTGTGCGCGCAATTGGTTATATGCACGTGTATAAACCACAACAACTTGTGGTTCCTGTTTCAGCTTCTAACTCCTTAAATGAGTGCGGCTTCAATCCCCCCACCCACCCCCCGCTAACCTGTTATCTAACTTCTGTGTAAAGGACCGAAACTGAATGTGGGAGATGTCTGGGTGTCGGGTGCGTGGACCGAGCAGATACAGCGCTGTGTGTTGTTGGATTTGAGACTCACTGCCAGGCCCTGGCATCACTGCCAGGCTCCTGCCCCGCTGATTGCCAGCTGGAGAGAAGTGACTCACGTGCTGCAGGCTGCCAATGGTTTGCTCCAACTGACCCTCTTCAGCGCTTACACTGTCCAGCGAAGGCCGATCTCTCAGTCTCCTCCCGGGCGAGGGGCACTGCATTGAAACCGACGAGAGCATCATGTGTGAGCGCTTGTGGGGATGGGGGTCTTCAGGGGCCGCGCATGTGGAGATGGGGATACTGTGTGAGGAGCAGGGGCAGGTTGTGGTGGGGACAGGGTGTGTGGGGGGTGTGGGCAGGGTACGGTGGTGGAGTAAAGGTGTGGGTGGGTGGTTTTTTTTTCGAGGGCAGGGTTTGGTGGGGTGGGCTAAGGGGTTTTGGGGGGCAGGGTATGGGGAGACACTGGGCAAGGTTTTGGGCAGGGGGTGGTGGGGGAGGGGTTTGGAGGACAGGCCGTGGTGGGGGATGAGGGTTATAGCACCTTATGAGAACTGGAGACGTGGGAGGTGCTGTGCTGCCCACCGGCCTGATCGGACCTTGCCCTCGGCCCGGCCTGACACCTCCCGCCTGCACTCCTCGTTCTTCGCTCGCTCTCCTGTCGGCAGAAAAGCTCCTCAAAATCTTCCTCGTCGGTGATCATCATCATCATCTCGTCCCTCGGGTACCTGAAACAACCGGAACATTCTGTTCGGTCTCAGTCTCTCCGACAAACAACAACAGCAACGATCGTTTTCTAACGGCCACCGCAACACATCGACAGTGAACGGCAGGTCCCCTCGTGGGAAAGGCTGCTCTTGTGCTCACCGACACATTACAGACACCCATCACCACCTACACATGACAATGTCATCAGCAGTGCCCTGCGGTACTGCCTGCCCGCCTGGATTCAAGAACCAGACTACCACAGAGGATAATAATAATAAATAATAATAATAATAATCCTCGCATCTGATATCGCGCCTTATCGCGTCTTCGAGACCTCTCAAAACGCTTCACAGAACACACCGTAAAGTAAATTGACTGCATATTCGTGGGCGAAACGCGGCAGCCAATTGCGCACACAATGGTCCCCAGTGTCGTGGATTGAGCGACCAATTTTTTTTTTGCAAATTTTTGCTCAACTACATCCCTATGGAGCCACCTCAAGCCACGCAGCTCCCCAAAAGGAGGAAGGGTACTGTTAGTCAATGAAATAGGATTTGGGTATTAAACACACCACGGTTATTCCCAGCTCTGTGTCACAGGCCTCGCTCTGTGTCTAACCCGTGCTGTGTCAGTGCGGTGTTCGATCCTGACACCGCGATCAAAGGCGGAAAGCATTTGATTTCAAACCGACATGCCCCACCTTGAGGAACACAAACAACAACAACAACTGTCGTGGGTACAGCACCCTACATGTAGAATAACGTCTCAAAGTGCTTTATGGTGGCGCGGACATGATGATCGCTCGCTGAGGGTGGTTTTAACGCTGGAATTAAAGACAGGTAGAGAAGGGGTAAGATGGAGGGGATGAGGGAGGGAGTTCCAGAGGTTAGTGAGCATAGAATGGGAAAGCTTGACCACTGATGGTGGCATGGGTAGAGCGGGCGCACACAGCAAGCCTGAGTATTTCATAGATTTACATAGAATGTGCAGCGTAGAAACAGGCCATTTGGGCCAACTAATCAATGCCAGTCTCCACCTACTGCTTACTCCCTCCCATACCCTTCTATTCCCTTCTCCTCCATGTATGTCTGGCTTCCTCTTAAATGCAACTTGCTGAATATAAACAGATATTCAGAGTTAGCTGTGCGAAGGGGGCCGGGGAGCAGAGGAGTGGAATCGGACGAGGTCGGAGAGATTGGAGGGTACTGGGGAGTGAGGGTAGAGAGAGTAAGCTATGTTGTTGAGGGTTTATTCTTTATGGTTGACTCTGACCTGCTCCTGTCCTTCCTGGAGCTGTGACTTCTCTTCCCGGTGTGGCTCCCACTCGGACCAGATAGAATCTGGCTTCTCCCACCTGAAAATAATAATAATAATCCTTTGATATAGCGCCTTATCAGATCATTGAGGAGTCTCAAAGCACTTCACATAATATACCGTAAATTGACCGTATATTTGTGGGCAAAACGTGGCAGCCAATTGCGCACAGCAGCGTCCCACAAACAGTCGTGAATTAAATGACTAAGTTATTTATTTATTTTCTGAACTGATTATTACCCCAGGAAAGCCATCCGCCAATCAACTAACAACTGGGTTCCCAGTTAATGTTAGGTAAACAGTGGCATGCGGAATAAGGAAACTTACCTAAGGTTTTGCCCTGCCTGGGAATTGAACCACCATTCTCTCGCTTGCGAGGCTAGTGCTCTAACCAATACACTACAGGACTGCAGGAAAAAACAACCAACAACAAACTACATTTGTAGAGCGCCTTTCACATCAGGAGGACGTCCCAAGGTGCTGGACAGTCAGGGATCTGCACCCGAGCTGGTAGTTGGGATCAGAAGGAGTGGAGGGTGGGGAGGGTAGGGGGGGGTGGGAGGGTGACCGAAGACACGGTCAAAAGAGGATGGTCTTGAGGCGGGTCTTGAAGGAGGCAAGGGAGGGGGGGCGAAGCGGAAAGACAAAGAAAAAAAAGAAAAGAAACAAAGCCTTTTTCGAGACCGACTGCACAAGGGTCTTCTTGTGTTCCAACCACACACTCAGACACACGCAGTTACTGTCTCAGCAGGACTGGAAATTCACAAACTGAACTCCTCTCGCGGAGTGGCAGAGGACAAAAATAAGAAAATTATATTAAATTTGAGTGAAACCTTGGTGTACTTTTGGTCACCACACTGTAGGAAAGACGTTATAGCTTTGGAGATTTACTAGGATGATACGAGCGGATACAGCTACCCAGAAAGGTTTCTCTCTCTGTAGATGAGACGATTAAAAGTAAATTACTTTTGATACAACGCCTTTCACTTCACAACAACATCTCAAAGCGCTTTACAGGATTCAGTGGAAAATAGAGTGACTGTGTAGTGTTGGAAGCAAATGAGGCAGCCAATTTGCACTCAGTAATGTCCCTCAAACACCTAGCGTTTGTCAGCCTGATTCAGTCAGTAGCACTCTCGCTTCTGAGTCAGAAGGATGTGGGTTCAAGTCTCCCGTTAGGACTTTGAACTCATACAGTCAAGGCTGACGTTCGGAAGCAGTGCTGGGGATTTGCTGCGTTGTCAGAGGTGCCTGGGAAGGAGTTTCCCCCCGGTGTCCTGGATAACAATCCCCCCAATAAAATTGGTCATTGACTTCATGGGTGTTTGTGGGACATTGCCGTGTGCAACTTGGCTGCCACCCACATTCACCCAAAAAACATACAGTCATTACACTTTACAGCAATCCGGTGAAGCACTTAGGGTCGTCCTCCTGACGTGAAAGGTGACGGACCGAGTGTAAGGAAGGAAAGTTGCCTACCCTGCACTGCGGTCCTCCTTTTCCTTATAATTTCATGGAATTTCCTTTTAACGTGTTCTTGTTTGGCGGAGTCCAGATCACTCTGGTCTGTGTGCAGGTTATCGGCAGCCATGTTCTTCTGACAACCGAGATCTGTGAAGTGGTCAAAAGGTTATTTATGGAACCCAGTTTGCCAGAACCGATAAGCAGAACATAATTCAGCAGGACATGTGTCGCTCAGTGTCAGTATCATTCCCACATCAGTTCGACTCTAACTCTGGAGGGAGCTTTACTCTGTTTCCAATCCATGCTCGGTTAGAGTAAAGCTCCCTCCACTTTGCCCCCATCAATGTGCCTTACTCGGGATGTCCTCCCGACATGAAAGGCGCTATACAAATGTAATTTTGTATTCTATTGTATTAACTTCAAGAACTGTCAGACGGTGGGAATGCTTGATCAATGGCAGGTCATCAATGCTCGTGTGAGGCTATTTTATTTTCTGCGCAGATTCCCGGGAAAAGTGTTAATGAATAGAAACAGAGCTCAATTGTTCGGCAGCCCTGAAGCTCACCTGTCATGGGCTTAGCAGTTATTGTCTGAGAACCTTACCTTTCCTGCTCCTCAGTGCTTTCTGAATGTAGGTTTGAACCTTTTCTGTTTTGACAGAGTCCAGGTCGCTGTCTACGCTAACTTCTTTAAAGCTGGTCACAGGAACTCCTTAAAGGAACCAATACAAAGAAATATGTGTGAGTCTGGCTCAGTTGGTAGCGCTCTCACCTTGGGAGTCAGAAGGTAGTAGGTTCAAGCCGCAGTCCAGACTTGAACTCATGTAAGTCTAAGCTGAAACTCCAGTGCAGTGCTGGGGGTGTGCTGCATTGTTGGAGATGACGTCCTTCGGATGAGACGTTAAGCCAAGGCCCGGTACAGACAGAGGTCATGATACTATTCCAAAAGAGAAGGGAGTTTCTCTCTCCCGGTGACCTGGCCAACAATCCCCCAAATAAAATTGGTCATTGACTTCACGGTTATTTGTGGGACATTGCTGTGTGCAACAACTGTGCCGCCGCATTTGCCTCCAAACACAAGAGTCACTCCATTTCACAGTAATTTCTGCGAAGCGCTTTCAGATCTCCTTTTGATGTAATGCCAAATGCAAGAATTATTATTTACAATTATTAAGGAAAGAGGGAAGGAAAGGGAAATCTATCATGAGCAGAGTAGAGGCGAGGAACGATAGGAATTTACTGCACGAAAGAAAACCATTCAGCCCCTCGTTTCTGTGCTGGCTCCCTCAACGCTTTCAGTCCCACTTACCTCCTTTTCCCCCATACCCCTGTGAAGGCTTGATTAGTTTGGGCAAAGGTTGGGGAAGGGGTCCTGGGCTCATTTATACATAGACACTGGAGCAATTAAAGACTGGGAGAGGAATCAAAGTGACAAAGGCTTTCTCTTACCTGCGACATGTTTGATAACCAAGGTGTGGTTGGTGTGCGTGCTGTCTCCATTCAGGCCGGGCTGTGAGCTATCTGATTGCGCCCTGTGACTCCCATCTGCGCTGCATCTCATGATCGTCTGATGAGGTTTGGATGGATGGACTGAGTCGGTCAGGTGTCGATGCGGTAAAACCAGCGACCTTTTCTCTCTCGGCCCGAGTTTGGAGATGGTGGTCTCTGAGCAGCGGGGGTCTTCCCCTGGCTGAATGTTGTTGCCTTTACAGGAAGATAGAACCGAGAGGGGCTCGAGTCTGGTCAGAGAACCTGGGCTGTTGACAGGCTTCCCGGTGGCTGCTGCCTGGGACTCGGAGACACTCAGAGAATCATGGTGACCCTTCCACTGATATGAAGTGCAGGAATTGCTGCCAGTATCTCCACTGAGTGATTGTGGGGCAGTGCCAGGGTTTGGCAGGCCTCCAGCAGATAACAGCAGCGATTCGATGTGACGAGGGCTTAAAGGCCACGCCACCGGGCAGGGCGAACGGTTTCTATTCACCGTCGTGTCATCATCAGGCCTCTCCGCTTGTTTGGAGGACAACAGCTGGTCGCTGGGGATGGACAGGTCCTGACTTGTGACCGGAGGAACAGTTGCTGAGGACTGTAGGCCCTGATTGAGCTCTCTGCTCAGCCTCTCTCGCTTCTGGGACAATCTCTTCAGTGACTCCATCAATTTGATCTCAGTGCTTTTATAACTCAGACCTGGATTACAGGCTGGTGAACCACTGCCCGGCCTATCCTCGCCCCTCAACGACAGTCCATTAGAGTTTGCGCTCTGTTTCCCTAGTGGGTTTGCAGAGTGTATCCACCTACCGGACAGAAGGCTCTTTTCTTGCCCCATGGAGCTTTGTGAACCTGACATATTGTTCTGGCTAAACCTTGATATCCTACCACCCAACGACTCTACACTCTCAGCCCGTGTGCTCAAGGCTACAGAAGCTGACTTCCCTCTGCTTCTTGGCTGGGTGTTTTCTAACCCCTCTCCAAACTGCTGATCAAAGTCTAACCTTTTCATAGTCGAATGAGGGCACCCGTCTCCCACAGCGCAGTCTCCAACACTACAAAGAGAATCACCTGGTATAAATCGACCCTTTGCCTCGCTATTCAGGCTATGACTCGGTGGAATTCTTGCAGATGCTTTGGGATGGATCCTACAACAGCTGTCATCCCCGGACAAATATTGACCCAGTTGAACGAGCTCTCCGATTGAGTCTGACCACTGCAACAGTCTCTCTTCCCGTGGAAAGCCATGAAGACATCCTAATTCACACTTAGGTTTCTTTAAGAAGCTTGTGGGTTCTACACATTCTTCTCCAAATGACGAGATGGTGATGGAAGACTCATCGCTGTCTGGATCTGGGTCAAATTTCAGGAGAGGGTCGACCATCCCCTCTTTAAAGCGTGAGGCGTAATCTTCTGTACAAACACTGTCCGCTGTGTTGTTGTCACTCTGGTAGCCCTGGAGCTCCATCTGCTCTGGCCCCAGTAGTTGTTGCACTCTCCATTCGTACTGCTTCCTGGTCTCACCATCTTGTTCAACCGAGTGCACGTCCTCTTGGCTTCTCCCGTCACCTCGTGTAGGACTGGACATTGTGTTGCTTTGGTCTCCATTGGAACTTGAGAAGCTGTCCTTAATTTCTTCATATGCTGCGGGGATGAGATAACACGGACCAGGTTACAAACACAATTATTTGTATCCCGCTCCCACTCCCCCACAATTTTTTCTCTTCCCCTTTCCTGAGGTTGGTTGAGGTTCCACAGGAACCTCCACGTTAGTGAGTCTAGTTAGTGAGTGTTGGCAAGATATGCAACTTTGGGGTGAAAAGGGGGCATCACAGCCAAAGTCAATGTTTTATTCATCTGCTATCCACAAACTTATTATTGACGAACGTTGGCAGCAAATTTTGCGAACATGCAATACACAGTACATTATTATAAGGACTCTGTTACCCACCTGAAATGTTGGCATCCTCCTGAATCATGGAAAATGCCATCTCTGTGTCTGACAGCGGATCAACAGCACTGGTGCTCCCGAGCCCAGTGTCCCTGCTGCCCGACTGGCTGCTGCTCAGGGTTTCTGTATTTTAGCAGAAGTCCACAGTGATTAATGGCACTCATTGCCCGAAGCGAATGAACAATTTTATCTGGGGGATTGTCTGTCAGGACACCTGGGAGAAACCCTTGCCATCTCCAATGATTAGGAGGTGGCAAGAGTTTAATTATCATTATTATTATTACCCCATACACCCGATCGGCACATACCCCCATCCCATCCTATACACACTAGTCATTTCCGCATGGCTGTCCTTTCACTCTCTCACCCTGAACCACTCTCTGCTCTCTCTCTCTCTCTCTCTCTCTCTGTGCACTGTACACTGTGCCACATGGCCCACAGTCAGTTCTGACTGTATGAGAAGAGTGATATTGACTCTGTGTGTAAGAGACACAGGTCACTGTTTTGGGCACATTCAAAGACATAGCCTCCTCCTCACCTGATTTCCTGGTGAAATCAGAAGTTCTTTTGAAGGAGATCCCCCTGGGGAGGGTTCTTGGTGTCCGACTTTCAGACATGGTCAATTTTGAGATCTAGGAAAGAATTAAGTAATAGGTTCAGATTTATTATCAGCGTGTCCACCATTATTACTATAACCAATAGACACTATCAACAATAGACACTATCACCAGAACTACCGTATCATATTAATATAATATTGACACATGACAAGTGTAGTATGGCTTGGAAGAACCAGGCAACTTTGGATCTAAGGTTTCCAAAGCTTTCCACTATGTTGTTGACTAATCCATACAGAATTAATTGCAATCAACATCTCTATTATTGTAGCTTGCGACTGCCAGGATGGTACAAGGCGGAGAAGATGGACCTTGGATCTTTTTTGGTCTAGCAATTCCTATTTTCCTATATCATTATTACCAGGATTAGATCATTAACTTTGGTAATATTCTCAAATGTTGCAGGTAACTTGGATCACTGGTAAGCAAGGTTCAACAAAACGGATACAGATTGTGGTAGTTACCCAGTGATGATATATAGAGTTTTAGGCTAGAGGTGAAGACTTGTAACTAAATGGGATTAACAGCAGCTTACACTCTATCAGCAAGTAGGGAAAAGAGTGTTTGACCAATTCAGGATGGGTCTCCATTAGCTGATTCATAGCTGTGGGTCAGAAAGTCCAGAAACTCAACCAATGGGTGGAGGAAGAGTTAGGCAGCTTAATAACAGAGGCAGCTCAATGTGAAATATCAATCTGGTGTCAGTCTGGATTCAATAATAATAATATTCCTTGCATTTGATATAGCACCTTATCACCTGTAGATGTCTCAAAGCGCTTCACTGAATATACTGTAAAATGAATTGTCAAGTGTAACAACACTTTGGGTAAAACATAGCACAAAGCCCATCTCTGGCTTACCTCGATCTGATCGAGCTGAGTATCAATAGAGTCCATTAGGTAGTCACAGTGGTCCTTTATGGGATGGTACACAATTTTACTGTAGGTCTGACTATCTGCCTCCAAAGCTGTAGAAAGAATCATCACTGATGAAAATGTCGATTAGTTTCAATGCAAGTTACACCTCAGGGAGGTGTTGTTGGTTATTAGGTTCTCCAAGATTCTGGTCGTTACTCTCTGGCCCACTCTATCACTCTGATCTCTTGTGATCTTACTACTACTCTCGGAGTTGAGTCCAGTTCCAGGTCCTTCGCCCCCAGTCAGTGGCCGTGCTTTCAAAGACTTTGCCAATCACTCTCTACAAACCTCTCCCTAAACCTCTCCACTTTGTGGCAAAACTCACCCAAGGTTTTGTCCCGCCCGGCAATTAAGTTACCGAAAGTTACCAGAACAATCTTGGTGGCAGAGTATTCCTGGACATCCTCAAAATGAACTGGCACTACACAGGTGAGGGCACAACAACAACAACAACAAAATTACATTTGCATAGCGCCTTTCACGTCGGGAGGACACGCCAAGGTTCTGGACAGTCAGTGTTTCAATGAAAGCAACATTCAGTAACTTGTGAGAAACTGAGCACAACAATAACTAACAGTGTTCAGCTTCGGGACCTGAAACAGGTTTATCCCCAGACACACTGACCTGATTTAAAGAGCTTGTCAGGGCCGTCCAATCCAAGGTCCTTCTGTTCCATATTACGCCTCCCCCACCATCAGCTCCTAAAACCAAACTACAGTCAATGTCGCGATGGCTTTTAAAGATTCACTTTTTCTCTTAACTTTGGAAGCTGAATCGTGGCGTCCTGTAGTGTAGTGGTTAGAGCACTCGCCTCGCAGGTTCGATTCCCGGGCGTGGCAAAACATTCGGCACGTTTCCTTACTCCACACGCCTCTGTTTACCTGGCAGTAAGTAGGTAGATCGTTTTACATTGTAAAATGGATTCTCTGTGTATCTTGTGGGTGAAACGAGGCAGCCAATTGCGCAGAGCAGCGTCCCACAAACAGTCGTGGATTGAGTGATCAAATTATTATTATTATTTTTTTTGGAGGAGATTATCACCTCCGGAAAATCCTGGAAAAGCGATCCTCTAATCGACTAACAATCGGGGAATCGAACCCGGGACCTCTCGGTCGCGAGGCGAACGATCTAACCACTACGCTACCATTTTGCTTTATGGGTGAGATAAGAAACACAAGATGTGGTTTCAGAGCCGTGTTTAGAAAGCGGGCTCGGGTGGTGTGGTGGTCTCTTGGCTGTTGGTGACCTCTCAGTGCTGTAACCCCTTGTGATGGAATGCGATTGACGAATCACCCAGAATTGGTCATGTTTCTTTTCAGCAAACTGCCGTTGCTGGGGTTGCTGAGCTCCGTAAGAGCAACAATCCAGCATTAAGTGGCGTGGGTCAGGGCACTGACAAATGGCTCCTTTCACGGGAGCTTCGGAGATCAATTATACTGGCTGCACGCTGTTTGCGAAGAGATAAAATCACATTGCGCTATGTGCTGCATCACAGTCTGCAACGAACAAAGGCTCTGAACTAGAGTTCCCCAGGGTCAACGTTCCCCAGGGTTAACGATCCTCCCTGAGGTCAGGAGGTCCAACGTGCTGGGCTCCAGAGTGTAAAGCTGCGGATTTGTGTCCACTATTCCCCAACTAACACTCAATCCTGACTCAGAGGCGGAACTCCGGGTGGAGTCCAGAACCAAGGTGGTCAGTGCGCTCGCCTCGCGCGAGAGAGGACCCGGGTTTGATTCCCGAGAGAACCTTGAAATAAAAATCCAGGAGGACTGTGAGCAATGCTGCCGTGTGTGAGGGCTGGGATGGAGACTCCTTGAATAAATACACTTTCTTTCGTAAACTTGTTTTTGACGATAATAATAATAATAATAATCTTTGCATTTGATATAGGGCCTTATTACGTTGTTGACAGAATGTACTGCAAAGCGAATAGAGTGTATATTTTGTGTGCACAGCCAATTGCGCACAGTAGCCTCCCACAGACAATCGTGGATTGAGTGACCAAATTATTATTTTTGAAGGGATTATTACTCCCGGAAAGCGATCTGCGAATCGACTAACAACCAGTTCTTACTTACTGCTAGGTACACAGAGGTGCTCTCAATGGCAAACTATGCGGTCTTAGCTGGTCAGACTCCAGCAGTTACCCCAACATTCAGCTCTGGGGGTCTCCAAGCCTTGTCTCTTGTTAATCTGTGCCTTTTTTTGTCTGGAATTAGGTGAGCAGGGTGTGTCGTTCCAGGGAGAGAGTGTGAGATTATATTTGCGATGATCACTGTTTTTAAGATTTTTGATGAGTATACTTTTAAAATGCAACCAAGCACTTCTAATCTGTTTAGTGCAGCATTCCTTTAGTCATTAGGGCATAGACAAGGCTGTGTGTTTTTTAAATGACTAACTGAGAGGGTACATGTGCCAGTTAGCATCAGCAAAGTTAAAGATATATGGGCTTGACCCCGGCTGAGATCGGGCTCTGATAACTTTCCCTCGTTCGTTCAGTGCCTTGGGACGTCCTCCCGCTCTATAAATGTAATTTTGTTTTTGTTGTTTGGGTCCCATGACACACTCCGATCTAAGGATTGAGTATTCATGTCTTTGAGCACAGATGTGAAAACAAGGGGGTTCAGAGAGAGTAGACATCTTTTTAGCTCAAGACTGAGAAACAGGGAGTTGGCAGAATCCTCCCAATTAGCTATCCATATCTCTTTCTCCATATCAATTATTTTCCCACAAGATTACGGATTAATTGGCCAAAAGAGCCAGCTCAAAGATCGCTAGCAGCCTGCGAAGGGTGGGGGCTCTCTCTGTGGCAAGGGAAGGTGGAGTTAGAAACACTTAAAAAAAAATTGCCACCAATCTACACCCCTACCCCCCCTCACCACCCATCTACCATCCACTTGCCCGTCACATTCCATCTCCCTCTGTTAATATCCACCCGAATGACAAGAAGGAAGTGACTCCCTTCCCCTCACCACAAACTTTATCGTTAACCAATCGTTTTCAGGTAAATGAACTTAAATAATAATTCTTGCGTTCAACACAGCACCTTTCACATTGTGAGGACGTCTCAAAGGATTTACTGCAAAGTGAAGGAAGGGACTGTGTGTTTTGTAGATAAATCAACAGAACTGCTGTGCACACCCAGCAATGTCTGTTGTTGTTTGAGAGAGGAGGAAAGGATTTGCACCGTGTACAGTGCAGTGTAACAAAAATCAAAGGAAGTTTGGAGAATCCATAACAAAGATACAAAGGGGAAGTGAAGTCTCGAGAGAGTACATTTTTATAATAATAATCCTTGCGTTTGATATAGCACTTTATCATGTTTTTAAGACGTCTCAAAGCGCTTCACAGAATATACTGTAAAGTGAATTGACTGTATATTTTGTGGGCGAAATGTGGCAGCCAATTGCGCACAGCAGCGTCCCACAAACAGTCATGGATTAAGTGGCCAATTATTATTATTTTATTTATTTTTGAAGGGATAATTACTCTACTATTACCCTCCTATTTACTGCTAGGTAAACAGAGGCGTGTGGAGTAAGAAAACTTTACCAACGTTTATTGGGTATCATGTACCGTAATTGCTTGTGCTGAACTCTACCAGGGTCGGGTGTCAGGAGATAAGTTCTCAGAGCTGTCCATTTGCTTAAACATATGAAAGCTGTCTGGCTTTGCCTACAAAATACAGTTACACCTAATAGTAACATCTTGTGAAGTGCTTTGAGATGTCCTCCGTACGTGAAAAGCACTATATCAAAATGCAATTATTATTATCAGATATCCCAGGAGTGACCTGGTGCAGAAAAAGAGTACGGAATTTTCACTAGTGGGGAATAATTATACTATAATAATGATCCTGCATTTGATATAGAGCCTTATCACATCTTCGAGACGTCTCAAAGTGGTTCACAGAATATACTGTACAGTGAATTGACTGTATATTTTGTGGGCAAAATGATAATTGCTATTGTCTACAACAACAACAAGATTCCATTTATAGAGCGCCTTTCACGTCGGGAGGACGTCCCAAGGCGCTGTACAGTTGGGTCAGGACCCGAGCAAGTGGGAAATGGTCAGGGTGAGGGGAGGGAAGGGAGCGAGCGAGGAGGGGGTAGAGAGCGAGGTTTCTATCCTTTTTAACACCCAACAAAGCACCATGCCAGGTGCAATTAATGCTACTGATTGTCGCTGGATGACTGAAGGATTTAGTATCTATCAGGCTGCTTACGTGACCGGTGGAGATTAGCTCTGTACACACATTGAACCGTTAAACGATTATATTTTGAAAGACGTGCAGTAAAAGTCTTACTGTGAATGTTTGAGTTGCTCGGAGAAGGCGGAAATATATTGCAACTATGGGATCAGGATGACCACAAACAAAAGTCACATTCAAGAACATTGTGGTGTTGCTTTGGTTCACACAGGTGTCAGCCTGGCTCAGTCGGTAGCACTCACACCTCCGAGTCAGAAGGTTCTGGGTTTAACATCCACATCGATGCTTTGAGCTCTTTGCTTGGCCAACTGAATAAATGTGTCTTAATTGAATATTTTCTGATTGATGGCATAAATCTATGCCATTTTGTATGAGTATTTTGGTGGCTGGCCAATAAGGTTGTCTCCAATGTAGTGCTGGGAAACCATAGAATTGTCAGAGGTACCATCTTTCGGATGAGGCGATATATTAGGTACTTAGTCTGCCTGTTTAGACAGGTGTTAAAGATCCAATGGCACAATCTGAGATGAGAAAGAGGAGTTTCTCCTGGTCAACTATTGTCCAAATAAAATTGGTCATTTAGTTTATGGCTGTTTGGGGGACATGGCTGTGTGTAAATTGGTACTGTGTTCATCTATTAATACTTGTTCTGAAATCCTGTAAAGAAGTTTTGACAGTTCGATAAGGCACAATGTTAACTGCAAAGATTGCTATTATTATTGTGCACATCACTCTGAAACTTTTGGCACACGACACAATGCCAATCAAGTCAAACCGAGAAATGTAATTTCCAGAATAGGTCACATTCAAACT